GGTAGTCATAATCTTTAGGTATGATTACATTGTCAAAGACTCTTCCAAGATTTTCATGGTGAAATTTTCTGTAAGATCTTTTGCCCCATTTTGAATCTACTTCGACTTTTCCTCACAATTGCTGTAAGTTTTACTTCTTGTGAGAAAAGTTTTCCTAGATACAAATCGGTTAAGAAACGACTAAGACTAAATGAATATAAATACTGTTCCGTTTAGAAATGAGCATCTGGGGGTATGAAACAAACTTCTAGAATGCCATCGATGATTTTGGTTATAAGAAAACAAGCAAAAAAAACATTTTAAAATGTGGAAGTAAAGATAGATTTTTAAAATTATTACTGGGCTTTATTTATTTCCCTATATTTCGTTTTGATGATTTATAGATTTTATTTTTTGGTATGCGTTGAGAAGGGCTTCAAATGGAGCTCCGAGCGGGCAAAAGCTATGGCCACTCTACTATGTGTGATACCTAGCAGCCTTTAATAATAATGAACGACATGTCAACTACAATTTTTGAGTGAAAGAAAGAGTAATTATGCATTTTCTCGAGGGCTATCTACTTAAGGGAAGGGATGCCTTCGTGGAGCCCTTTCTAAAGGAAACTGGCTCGTATACACATGACACATGAGGAAAATCATGAAAGCACCCATGCCACCGACTCGTTCGCCGTGATTCGAAACCTGGACCGAACTATCATTGTTGAGCGACTTTACATCTCGGCCGCTGATGAGCCATATTGGTTCATGTGTCGTGTGAACATACGAACTAAAGTAAATAATAAAATAATAGCAAACACAATATCATCTATCGAACAAAATGAAATTCAAAGCTTTAAAAATAATGAAATATGACTTTTAAACACTAAGGGGATGGGCGTTATGATAATTATCTAAAATTGCATTAGTTCTTTTAGTCACACATTTAATAGTAAGCCATTCTAAAACATGCTTCTATCACCCTTGTCTTCAATACCAAAGTCCAAAAGAGACGAGGCTGGACATAGAAAACAAAAGTATTTTGATAACGTATAGCAAAGTTAACATTAAAGAAAAATTTCTCAAAAATCATTATCACTTTTCCTTCACTTAGGAAGTCCATTAGCGAATACTTCTGTTACGCAAATATTTCCTCCTTTACTAATCGTTAGTTTAAGTTCTTCTTTTATTCTTTTAGAGTTCTCTTTAAAGAAAAAAGAACACTTTTAAGTTTTTACAATTCATTTCGATGCATTCATGGAATGTATTCTTTTGCCTAAACTGCGAGAAAGTATTTCTCATTTGAGCACTTTTCTACGTAAATAAATACTTCTGTGTGTAAAATAACAATTAAGGTGACAGGCAGTAAAGGTAATGATTCGGTTTTTAAGTGCGCAGAGTTTCAAACATAGAGCAATGACAGATTTGCATTCCTATCTTTAAATTGAAAGTGTTTTTTCTTACCCCTTCCTTGTAAAAAAGAAAAAGTTTCCTTTTGGGAAGGTTTACCTTTAAACTTAAATTACAGTTTGTCTAAGCCTACATTATAACATGCTTTGCAAATTTTAAAAATTTTTCCTAATTATGACTAAATCAGAAATTCCATTTTAAAAATAATTGTTTCCTTATTTCTACCTTAAGCACATTTTGCGTTATCTGATTCATATACGATGAATAAAGATACTCAGTAAGCATAATAGAGCATTTATTATGCGACAAGATAACTATTATGACTCCGTGATCGAAAAGAAATGAATACAACAGGCTGCCGTAAATTATTAACAGATTCTAAATTAGAGCTCAAAATATAAGTTTTATTTACACTAATATTATTGCAAGAAATGTCAGAAGTCATAAGACCGTAGACTACTACTTTAAACTACGTGGAATACTACTTAATGCTTTAAACATGTAAAGGCAGTGCAAGTTTTAAGTGAATTATGGCCAATTTTAAAATAATACAAAATTATAACGGATTCAAAATGCAAATCATGAAATCTAGGTACCAAATACACACTAGCTACTAAATTACCGTATACCGAGTCTTAAAAATCGAACTGTTTTAAAATCATTTAAACTGCAATCGCTTATATATTTCCCTTTTATTTTATTTCTTTTCTAAATAACATTACCTTCTAAAATAAAATATAGGAATAAACACTCGGCTTTAAGAAGATCTAATGACGATGTGAATGCTTCTTAGAGCATCGATATTGTTGCGTTCAACGGGTTCGTGGATTTGGAGCGATTGATGGCAGCATTTAATGAAGAATTAAAGGACACTTTATTCTTCAGTATTACACAGAATAGTTTCGAAGACGCGTTACAGTCGTCGAAAATCTACGATAAACACACTGAAACAATCAGCAACACAGCCTTCCTGCTCTCAGGCTATAACAGTGCAGATAACCCCATGGCAAAACACTCAATACAGCTTCCAACTCTCTCTCATCGCTCTCAGAGCTCAGCACACTCTCAAGATACTCTTCACGATCGACGATGCACTGCTACTCCGCATACAGGCAGGATTTACATAGCTATTGCTATAGGTTTATATAGTTTTTTGCCTATTGGCGGCGGATTAGAATTAATACTTCAATCGTGCAAATCGCGCGGTTTTAAAATTTCTGTGACATCACGACCTCTCTCATAACTAACGTAAGAACGCATGAAGTGGTTCTGAAGCTTGTTGCGTTGTAGGATATCTGAGTTAGAATACTTAGATTTTCTATAGTTTTAGGTTGGATGCATTTTAGAGAGGTGAGAATACATTACTTCATTACTTTACTACTTTAAATTTATGTTTTTCAAATTTATAACTTTCTAGTAGAACGTGCGGAGGGAAACCGGGAAGAATTCGTTATAGAATTTTCCCGCTCCATCTATGGCGTATTGCCAATTTTGTAGCCAAATGGACGATTTCGTGCCAAATCTGGCAACTCTTTCTCTCCTTATCATTTTCTGACAACCTTAAACCCGCTTTGCGGGGAAGCTGTTTTACCGCAGCTAGACATTTCGTAACAATAGTTACCAATTTTTTTTTTTCAAATGTTCGTTGATAACTGTGTGGAAAGGCACAACATTGAAAAAAACGTTCTGATTAACGTTAAGTTAGAATATTTCTGAGGAAAATGTCAGTTCCTCCAACATATACTAGAAAATATGCTAAATTTAAGACTATAAAATTCAAATGTTTCCAATTTCTACTGGCGCTAAGAAACTTTCAATTTCAGTCATAAAAATTTTTAAATGCTTAAAAAAATATTTGTTGAAAACAGAAACTTCTTTTTTACAGTAAATTAATTTTCATCAATTGTATGGTTTAATGAATCCTTGTTTTTAAAGCTGTTATCGGTTATGAAGGCACAACGCTTCTTTGAATAATACGGCGACCGAAGATGAATAACTTTATAGAGAACCTTAATTCTGTTTTTCATATAACCTTAATGCTGTTTTTCATATAACCTTACTTTCATTTTTTAATTTGATACCTAAACTAATAAATTTATAGCATTTGCTTAAGGGAACCCTATGGCTCCTGAGACAACACCGACTCTACTAGAAAGTTATAAATTTGAAAAACATAAATTTAAAGTAGTAAAGTAATGAAGTAATGTATTTTCACCTCTCTAAAATGCATCCAACCTAAAACTATAGAAAATCCAAGTATTCTAATTCAGCTATCCTACAACGCAACAAGCTTCAGAACCACTTCATGCGTTCTTACGTTAGTTATGAGAGAGGTCGTGATGTCACAGAAATTTTAAAACCGCGCGATTTGCACGATTGAAGTATTAATGCCAATAGGCAAAAAGACTGTACTGTAAATATGGTAATCGCCCATCGGAGCAGAAAGACTTAGTGAGTGCAACACAAGACATCTGTCTATTTTGTCTGTCTGTAAAATATTCGATAAACTGTTTCACTCTTTTGCTTTGTTTACAAAATTCCAATTCCCGATTTTCATAAATCAGACAAACGTATATACCATTTCCTTGCAATAATGTGTAGCATGTTCTAATTCAGCATACTTTTTTTTCAAGGAAAAGTCATATCTAATAGGTGAACGGTTTTTATGTTTTTTCCGTTTCATTACTCTTGATAATTCAACCAGATGATGTTTTTAATACTGCAAAAATCAAAAACATTTTATGGAGATGTGTTTCCATGTTTCGGTTAAAACCGTGAGAAACTCTGTATAAATAAATATAATTCTGGCACAAAATAATATTCATTTGTTATTTTCAATAAACGGTAAGGGGGGAAAAATGCCAAACCGAAATAGTAAATTTGTACTCAGAAATATGTTCAATGATCTTATGCATCTTTCATTGATCCCACAGAGTCTTCTACCAAATGTTTAGCATTTTAGTCATTGAGAAAACAATATCTGAAGTTGTTTATTATAATAATTGAAAGTTTTAGTTATGTGTATTGTTTGTAATATATTAAAAAAGAATTTAGGTATGTTTATGAAAACTAGAACTGTCAGTTAGTAATGTTATGTTTTTAAGAAAGAAGCGTGTGCTTCCAAATTGTACACTTGAATTTATATTATTTTTTTTTTAAATCTTCATTGCTGTTGTATACTTTTGGCAAAAAAGGCAAACTAAATTAATTTTTTTACGTTCTTAACTAATTGGGAAAAAAAATGCCAGAAAGCTTTTTAGGTGAAGTAGTTATCTATTTATAATTTATATAAATTAAAACATTTGAAACAAATTGAGCATTTCATTTTTAAGAAAGTTCCTTCTTGAAAAGGAGGTTTTGAAGCACTTTCTTAATGATTATAATAACTTTGCCAATCAATTTTATTGATCAGTTTTTAGTGATTAATAATAAAAGAAAACATATTCACTTTTTATGATAACATTATCAGTCACTTTCATGATTGGTCATTTCATAACAATTATAAAATGATTAATGGTGAATTAATTAGCCTAGCTTTTCTAATCTTTCAGGCAGAATGCTTAATTGTTTGGAAGTTATATCTTTTTATAAATATTTTTTGCATATTAATTTCAGATGTTCCCAAGCTCCCATCATCAGCAAAAAAGAGTGAGTCAAGTGCATCTCATTCTGCTTCTCACCATGGGGATGCAAAAAATGCAGAAGGGTAAGATTATAATAATACATTTATAAAAATGTATAAATAATTTCTGTACTTTAACATTGCATCCAATATTGCCAGATGTTCTAAAATGTGTAAAGCAGTTTTTTGAAATAACCATTTTTTAACATTAGAAATTTTGGTACTGTCAATTATCCACAGCCATATCAAAAGTCATTAAAAAGCATTCATGAGACAGTGCAGAGAGTTGTCAAAATAATTGCATCGCAAGACATGATGTTGCCAAAAAAGTATCTTGTAAAAACTCAATTTGCGGATAGCACATATCTGTATATACATTTCTTTATATGTTTGAACTTCAACCATCATTTTTCCGATAAGTGTTTCTTTTTGTGCTAAGTAGATATGTTTCTCTCTTGGTGAATCATAATAGGTCTGTGGAGTTTGCCAGCTGATGAAAAGTGTTCTGCCCAACAATAGAGAATGCAAAAGTTCACATTCTGTGAATTAAGCTTAAAATCCAAATTTTATGGAAATGTGGTGTGAAAAATCTTAAGTTAAATATTAGAATGCAGATCAGAATCGTTTGAAGTTAATTATTGTTGTCCCCCCCCCAGTGGTGGGCACAATTCATCATAGACGTTGGCCACTATTAAGGCAAGAAGCAATGGTCATTTTATTATGAAGGCACCTAACAGGTAGGCCACTTTTGCCTCTTATGAAGGGACAGATAGTTACAACCATCTTCTCTAGGATTCAAATCTGGGGCCTTTGGTATCGCAGTCAGCTTCCCTAATCCCTTATACAACAGCTGTTCACTTTACTTATTGCTAGCCAGTGCACATAACGAGATTTGTGCAGTTATCTGAAGTTTTTTTTTTAGTAAAAATGGAATGCAGTATGCATGTAGAGAACAAAGGAAAAAAAATACAAAAAGCTTTTCCACAAAAACTTAACTAGTGATTTTTACGGTAAAAATATATTTACGGGTGCCCCTTGGATAATTGCCGATTTTTGGCTGTACATGCACACCAAATTTGTTCAACTCTTTGGCTTGTTATTTTGGCTTCGTGTTGCGGCCAAAAATCGCCACTACACAAATCCAAACTAACAAGTCAAAGAATTGCACAAACTCGGTATCCATGTACACATCGGCCTATTTTCACTTAAAGAAAATCAGAGAATTGCACAAACTAGGCATTGCACACTCCCTTGACTTTGTCCATTTACATATTGATATATATTCCCTTGAAACGTCAAAGGAGCAGTCAAAAAGAATATATAATCTCAATAAACTGCATTTTAAATCAAACAATGAAGTAACATAATAAAGAAATTCATCTTAGCCCTACACAAAGGAAATATCCACTTACCTTATTTACAAATTTTGCTCTCTTTAGTCAAACAAAATTCCTTAAAAGAATTCAAAACTTACTAAAATTATCTGAACTAGAATCTGTATACTGGTGTTGCCACATAAATTCACAAAAATAAGAGTAAAAGATATCCTCCGTTCGAAAATATCCGATGCTCGACTATACACATTTCCTTCCTACGAACAGGACAATGGCTAAGTAAACCTTCATTTGCACATCAGTCAATTAATGCTTTATTCCCTCTCATTCCAAATTGACCAGAAATTCAAATTAATCTTACCGCATTCAGCCATTTTACCATGTAAAATACAAAATAATTGACGTACTTCCTAACCAACACACACAAGCCCTTACAAATCATTTCCCGTCGTTCAAATTCACCACAATCACGCAACCAATTATGTCATAATAGGGTTTCCATAACATTCAACTACTCAGATTACCATAAATGAAACAACAACTTAGTGATAAATGAAACAACAACTTGGCGATAATCCAAGGGGCACCCTTAAATCTACTCTAACCAATTTTTACATTTTAAAATTTTATTCAGTAATACCTTTTGCCTTTGTTGCATTAGCTTGGTAAAAAGTTAGTTGCCAATGAATTTCCAAATACTCTTCAGAGACAACAATGAATTCATGGCTTGGTAGAAGATGCAAATAATCAAAAAGTACTGAAATTTTTAAAACCACATTTGGAATTCTTTCAGGGGATAATTAATTGTATTTTATGCAACATTTAACAAGCAGGTACTACTTGGTTTGGTAAAACCATCAAAACTAGTCCTGTGAAAGTTTTTAAAATTAACGCTGATTTTTGTTGTTTGACTTGTGAATTTATACCTGCTACATAAATATATTTTTGCAATTTGATAGATTGCCTGTTTTGGCAACATAGCATATTGCATCATGAATGCTTTTCAGGGATATGGAAAGAAAGTACCCCAAAACTCTTATTATCTACTTCCATGAATAAATTCAAGAACCTTATAATTATTATGGGAAATGAAAGCACATTAGTGCAGAGTTTCAGTGAATTAAAAAATTCCAGATTTTTTAATTTTCAAATTAATTTTTAATTTAATTCCAGATTTGTGGTGTAAAATATGTGTTGGTCTCAATTTATCTTAATTTAATGTTCTTCTGCAGTTTTTATATCAATACAAAACTAATTTTTTAACACATTTACATAGTTTTAAACTTTAAAAATTGTTTTTTACTTCTTAGGTACCACCTGCCATATCCTTCAACAACTTCTGTGCCTGTTATCCCCGTCCGCAATAACCTGAGGCGTCCATTGTCCAGTCGATTCAGTCATTCTCGATTTCAGTTTAGAAAAACACTTTCATCAAGATGCACTTGGAAATGCACAGCAATTATTTTCATGTTTTTATCATTGGTCCTTTTAACATCTCTTACATATTTCATTGGTAAATCAGTGTTGTTTTTACCATTTTTATCTAACTGTTTGCTTGAGAAATATTTATTTTATACACTATTTTAAAATATTTTTAATCTCATGTAGTTAAAATATCTTGTCTGTAATTGAAAGGTTCAGCAAGAAAAAGTCATAGACACACAATACATAATTGGAATTATTCACACTTATATTTAAAATGATATGAAATTGCATGCATGTTATTAAGTATTAGAGAAAAATAATTGGGTAATGCATTATTGTGGGATTTTAAATGAAACTAATATGGTTTCATGTTCTTTAGACGTATAGTAAATTATTTTTTAATTGTTTCAGAGGCCAGCATTTTTTCCCAAATTAAAACAGTTGAATATTTCCTATTAATAAGTTTATTATTCATATAATATTTTATAACTAATAACTGTAGTAACTTTCATGCAAGGTCAGTGTTTTTAAGTTCATCATACTATAGTTGATACATCTCAGGTATCTAATGAAGAGTAGTTAGATAAGACATCCTAGGATTTTTCCATTTTGCTATGATTGATGTCCATTTTGGAAGCATTTTAACATGATTAAAAGCCTTATATTTTAATGATATCCAAATATCATCAATTAGGGATTGTATCTTGTTAATTTCAGAGAACTATGCTTCTAATTGTGGGAGCATTTATTAAATATAAAGAAAGATGTCACAGATTAGTTCAAGCACACCAGCAGCTGAGTGGTAAAATTACTGAACACTTGATAGTTTTTCTCAGTTTCAAATCCCCAATGAGCAGGTTGGCTGTATAGAAGGCTTCATGGTTTTTCCTTCAATATAACATGAATATGATCGAGTTTCCCTTAAAATGTGCTCCACAAAAGTGTCTCTCTTCTTAAGCAGATATCCCTTGCATTTTTTGCTGTAATATAAAATCCAGTCCATCCACAGGCTGCTTCATTATGCAGAAAATTTAAAACTAATAGACACATTGCTTATGCCTTTGTTCCCCAGGACCTGTTCATTTTATAACTCCTTTAAAATAAGAAGCATTTTGGCTATATTTTGTACTGTTTTGTTATATTATACCGTTTGTACTGTTTACTGTTTGTATATTTGTACTGTTTTGTTATATAGATATTATAACTGCAATTAAAATCACAACCAATAGGAATAAGTCAGAATTATTTTTCAGGTACTTTTTCTTTTTCTATATAAATTTAGAATTTTACTCACAATTTTTGCCTTTGATTTGTTTATGTGAAAATTATAAAATTAATAATAGTACCACTGACTGACCCCATTTTAATGAGTTTATGAGTAATTTAAAAAAAAACTGAATGCATTGAACTGAAAGAGGTAATCAGCATGTGTGACTGTAGCATCTTGTCACAGGTTGTGGTTTCTTTCAGAAAAGAGAACCTGTTTAATGCATTAGATGAGCAAGGGAGGGAAGCAATTTTCAAACATCACATTTTCAAATGTCACTTATGTAGCTACATCGTATTTGTTTATTTACACAGTTTATGCATTTATCATATTGTTATTTTTTAAACTCTTATGTTGAATTTCAAGTAGGTATGATTTGGTAATTTTTTTAGTAAGATCTGGGAATGTTCAAAGCCTTTTTTTCATATAAATTAATTCTAGTTTCTTCTGTGCTTGCTTTACGCTATTTTGACTTATGAAGGATTTTAGAAGAATGTTATACATTCTTAAAATGGGCTTAATTTGCATTACCTTAACTGTTGAAATGCATTTCAAGATGCATGTATATAAAAATGTTGCAGAAAATATTATTGGATACACATATGTGTGTGCGTATGTACATATGGTCTGTCCATTTATGTGAAGATTGTTGTTGTGTTATTTTTCTAAATTTTCATCAGTATTTTAATAATACAGTCAAAAGTCGTTAATTTAGACACCCATAATCCGGAATGATCTATAATCCGGAACTCAAAACTAAAAACTTTCTGCGCATGCGCCGCGTTGACACATGCGCATAGGTGTTTACGCGTGCGCGTAAGACCTTTACGACTGCGCATATGTGTGTGCGCAAGTGCAGAATACGTTTTCGCGTGCGCGTTTAATGTATAATGGATGGTATGAGCTAAAATTATCTAATTATTTATTTCAGTTAATGTTGATGATTGCGTTATTCCTTAATCTTTGAACTGGATCCGGCTTATTACTTTTTTCAGACTGTAAAAGCAATTTTATAAAAGTAAACTTGAACTTTCGATTATGTCAAATAGAATTTCCGATGCTGGAGCTACCAAAGGATCTACAAAACGAAAGTACGTTTCGATGTCCATCAAACAAAAAGTGGAATTGCTGCAAAAAATGGATAAATACATGAAGAAGGTAACAGAGAGGTTAGTGAAATGAAAAAATTTCGATTGACAAGTTAGTCGGCATTCTCGGCACAGCAATTACGGGTCTTGAACAGTGGAACTTTGTAACTGAACAAGAAATTATGTCTTTTTATAGAATTAAAGAGAAAGTATTATCACATAAAACGAAGCAACTTAAACAACTTACATTGAAAGAAATGTTTAATAAAGTAAACAAATAAATATTAAGCTTTTTTTTTTGTAAATTTAATACCCTTTAAATCATAATTGTCCTTTATTTCATAAATTACGGTTTCATATTTTTAATTTTAGAATTTCTGCATGCCATCTTACGAGATTTAAACTGATGATCTATAATCCGGAATCGCCGAAGTCCCGACGAGTCCGGATTAACGACTTTTGACTGTATAATAATGAATGGCTTATTACAAGTATTTTTACAACATGTTTTGAATGTTTAATGTAGAATTGTTTAATTTATGTCTTATTGTTAATTTATTTTTTCTTAGCAGTTGCAGTTCTGAATTGGCAGTATGCAAATAAGCACCCATGTCCTGTGATGATAGAAGATATGGGAAGAACTAGTGAAGGAACAGAAATCAAAAGTATGTACCCTTTATGCAAATGTAATCAAAAGTATGTACCTCATATCAATTCACGCAGAATTCGAGAAATAAATAAATTACTTCAGTCACCAGAGAGTGATAGTATTTCATCTTTTTCAAAATCTGCCAATGATGAATTTGGTATGGAAGCTAGTGGTGAGGTTCCAGATGTCATTCCATCTGACCAAAGTCAACTGAAATCAGATAATGCACCTGATGTAGCTCTTATTGATGAGGATTTTATAGTATATAAGAAAAATGAATCAAAAAGCAAGATCAAAAGGGAAAATGTTCCACCACCTGCCGAATTGATACGTAAAGATGATACTGGGAAGTTAAACAACATAATGTCAAGCCCTCAGGCGTATGTGCAGGATCCTACATCCATATTTCTCAATCATTATGATCCTAATGAGACATCAAATGAAATTCTTGTACATGAAGAAAGTGTAATTGAACCACCAATTTTACTGCCAGATAGTGAAGAGGTCACAAATGACATTAAGTATCCTGAGTATGAACAAGTTGACAAACATTACACACCAGATACTAAATCTCCAATATATACTACTGTGTCTACAAATATTCTAGATGTAATATCGGATGCTTCAACTTTAAATAGTAATTCTAGTTATGATACCACTCTTTTTATGGATAATGAAAAAAATAATACTCCCGATTATATGGAACAACCTATTTTGAACATCAGTAATACAAATAATGTTGTAGAATCAACTACAAGTGCTTATAATAAATTATCCAAAGTCTCTACTTATAGTACTGAGAAGCTTTCAACAGCAGCTAATGACACAGGAAGTACAGTTGATGACTCTGCTTCAGATGTTGTTACTGAAGCTGCTACTGCAGCTTCCATTGACAATGATGCTGTATTTCTTGGCACAACTTCTGATGACCTTATGTTTGGTAAGTTTGTTTGGAAGAATATACCTCCGCACTAGATTGCCTCAAGCTCCTCTGTAATCGCATGATTCTTCCTTTCACATCTAAGCTTCAAAAGTCTTCTAAATTCACTAACATTTCCACAAATGCAAACTAACAAATGTTACTATCATAGGCAGCCTGGCTTTGTTTTTAAGGTGTGTTGTGACTGCTCCTAATTTGGGTGTGTTTTATCATTTAACAAAACTAATATGGTTTGGAGGTATAGAGATCACTTAAAAATGTTTTACTGATGTTATACTGAATGCGATTTGTTTTATATGTCTCTGAGTATTACCAGAATTTTGATTAAATCTTATGCTATATAAATATAAGTAGGTTATATTTAGAATATTTTGATACTTTTTTTAGACTTTTCATACATCATCAAGATAGTTCAATTCAAACAAAAATATCAAAATATCATATTGTCTGTACTTTTCATACGATTTAATTAAATAATGGATTAGTGTGTATTCTTAATTTATAACAGTTTTTATTATCCTTGAACATGCATCTCTCAAGTAAGTTACAGCAGTTGTGTCGTATTCTCCCCAAGAAAAAAGAATTAATTCATATATTTTCATTTTTCATGAAGAAATTTGAAACTTTTTGATTAATATTACTAAAATGTGACATATTAGTAAAATGTAAGTAATTTTGCATTACACATAATTTTATCATGTTCCCCTATTGAAATAGTTCTTTTTATGCAAAATCTGGTATAATTATTTTATGCAATTATTATATTTGCTACACAACTGTGTCTGTATTGAGTATTTCTTGAATTCCATGTTCTGTCTTTTTTTAAAGTATATTTCTATTTTATTCACAAAAGGTCAAAATTTTCAAGCTGATTTCATTGAATGCATAATATGCAGGAACATGGGAATTTTATACATTCCATTTGGATGAAATGATACCTCATTTTTACTAATGAAAATCACACAACAGTATATGTCTTTCTTCCGGTCTTATTTTGTGTCTGTTTGGTCCAAATTTTTTGTTGCTTACTTGCACATGTTAGTTGATTTGAAAAGCTTAATCATTGGCTTCTCATGCAACTAAGAATCATAGGAATCCTGCTCGGTATTTGGTTCCATTTTAATGAGGCACAGTCATTCTTTATATAACTTATATGATCTTGGCTGAATGAAGTTTTTTCAGGCTGGATCAGAAAATTGTATGGCTTTATTATTATTATTTTTTAAGAAGCCTTTTGTGATACCAGATTATGCACTAAGGGTCTCTTCAAAGACTTCAGTGGTACTATTGTTTAACAAACAAATAAACTCCAAAAATACTGCAGCAAAAGCCTTCTAAACAGTAGCCCCAAAAGCCTTGGATAATATGGATAAGCAAATCTGGCAATGCATGCTACAAGGGGCACAGAGGGGCTCATATGGACAATGTGGATTCTTAAGACATATTTTAACTTTCTGATTATCATATTAGCACATACATATTCTTGTATGAAGTATATATACTAAGGTATCTAGAGGTATACAGATTTTATATGCACTATGTTAAATTTTAAGAATAGAACTAGTTTAAATTCTTAGGATGAATTTGTATTATCTTATGTTTTCTTCTGAGGGAATTAAATTAAAATATAATAAAAATTAAAATATAATGGAAAACCAAACCAACAATTCTAACACACAATCAAAACCTATTAAAGTCACACCATTAATACAAATAATGTAATTTTGTAACATGTGAAATAATTTGGTTTAGTAAAAGCAATGGCTGATTGCTTCCTTATATTTCACACTAAACACATTTTCATCTATTTAGTGGGAAAATCTGAAGCTATAAAAAATAATTAGGCATGGATTTGACTCCAAAGAAACTTCATTGATTTCACATTGTCTCACATTTAAGTTTATTTCCTCTTAAACTATTTTTAGACCTACAACTGTACAAGTAAAATTATCTATATGTCATAAAGACTAACAGACATAATTTTATGTTGAAATCAAATCAAGCGATCTGTATTAAAATTTGCAAAAATAAATAAATAAATAAATAAAAAGTAAAGAAATTGCATGGATATTTTATTAATTGCTGTATGACAATTATTTTTAAGAATTTCTGTAGGGGAACATTATTTTTATCGAAAAGTTAATGGAAAACGTATGAAAACTAAATTATATTTATAATGCAAAAATAAAGTTTTGAATTAAAATTTTTGGAGCTTTGTGGTCACTTCTTATGTAAAATGTCAGAATACTGTAACTTTCTATTTCTGATGCTGATTTCTTGCTTCATTTTTCAATTCTTTATGCTCTGCTCTGCTTAGCTGATCAGGTTTTAATGATTAAGATTCAGTTTAATCATATTTTATTGTATTCAAATTTGTATTATTTTAATTATAACATTGCTATAATTAATAGAAATCTGGGACAACTATGTTAACTTTTTGAACTACTGATTTCTTATTATGATGTGTTTTGTAAAATTTTATAAACTAGCTTTTTAATTTTTTTTTATGTAAACTTTAAAAATATTGCTACTGGAATTATTAGAAATACTGATTAAATAATTGCTGTTAAAATTGTAGGAACTCCTGAACTCTGATAGTTTAATCTGGTATCAATCAAGGTTATGAAAAAGGAATTAAAGTTCTTTCCAAAACCAAAATTTATAATAAAGCTGCTATACTCTAAAAGAAATCTGAATTACGAATATGCAGGTTGAAACAATTATGCTATTGTTAAATGAAATTTTAAGCTATTTCAACTCCGCCCCCCCCCCCCTTTTTTTTTTTTTTTTTTTTTTTTTACTGAAAGGTTTAGGGACACTTTAATGTTATTGTATATTTTCCCACCCATTAAATTCATTCCTGTATTTTCTGAATAAGTGAGTAACCTAAGTAAGATAATTTTATGATTAATCAAAAATGCAATTGATTTATTATCTAAAAGATGAGTTTTAAAGAATTTGAACTTATTATTTCTTCATAATTTTTAGCCTTTAAAATTTGATTATGATTTTGTTAAAATTGAAATCATCTTAGACGGATTAAAAGTTGTCTCTAAACTTTTGTTTCAATTTTATTACCTGAGCCATTTTATAACATGTCATGTGCATTTTGGGAAAATCTAATGCAAATGTAAATCTTTTAAAAGGGGAGATTAAGCAGAATATTGTTGTCTTCTGTGGTTTTGTATTTGGTTTCCAGAATGAAAAGTCTGACCTTTTAATGAAGTTGTAACCTTTCACTCAATATAATTAGTGAAAAAAAAGGAAATTCCAAGGTCGCTGATAGTACAGTAAGCAAATAGTAAATGAAACTAATTATAGTTCCATAATTTTAGTTCTAAAATATGCATTAAATTATTAGAATAACAAAAACTGCAACACTCAAAAATGAATATAACTCGTAGACAACAATTTTTTTCACTGGGAAAAGATGGCATGTACTTACTATACCTTTCACACCAGTGGTAAACCTTCTTAAAGTGTACTAACAGAAGAAGTGATTTCCAAAATTTTTGAAGGTTTCCATTCTTAGTAGCCCTAAATAATTCTTTTTAATCTTTTTTTTTAATAAAATATTTGAGATATTTCCCAAAATAACTAAATATTTCACATATTTTGAAATCCATTATATTTAGAGCCCACCAATGACCAAATAGTAAGACTGCTGAATACTTATATCTAGCTTTGTCTAAAATCTTAGTGAATGGGCTAGCTGCATGGGAGTTTTCATGGTTTATCCCATGTGTAATGTAAATATGAGCCAGTCCTCCACAAAGAAATCTCTGCTCTTATGCAAATATCAATTGCATACTTTAATTCAGATAATCTAATCTTGTGATAAATAAAAAATAATGAAAAAGTGAAACTAAATTAACTTACTATAAACTCATAAAATTATGTAAACCAACTATGAACAATGAAAATTGTGAAAGTTGCAAAATTTAATACGATGTAATAATGAAGTAAGTCATTAAAAGTTTAAAAAGTATGAGGAAAAAACTAATAAATATGAGAAAATTTAAAAAGAAGCTAATATCATAAAATTGCTAGAGGGGTTGTAACCTCTTTCACTGATAAAGGGTATCTAATATGCACACAGTGCTCCTGGACAAGTGATATACTATATTTCCCAGAGCAAGTGATAGTTTATTCATATATGTGTGTCTGTGTGTGTGTACTCTTGAGAATAGTCATCACTAAAGCTTTAACAATTAAAATAGAAAAGAGACGAATCTGCATGTTAGCTTCTAGATTGTAAAATGATAAAAAATCAAAAAGTAAAGGTCAGAACGAAAGTTAATAAAATTATGTTCCAGAAATATGAAGGTCTAACCTTCTTTCTCTGGGTAAAAGTTCTCAAACTGGATAAATGCAAATTGAAGGAACTTTCAAAAACAGAATCATTAAAAGAAAACTTAAAATGAAAATGAAATTTTTTTTAAAAATTACAGAAAATCATACATAGCAAAACAAATAACAAAATAATTTTGCTCAAAATTTTTTTTTATTAATCTCCTGGCATGCTTCAAACAGAACTTGACAAGGAAAAATATTATGAAGCTTTAAACCAAGTTGATTAAAGAGTTTCATTCATGTGAATTTGAGACTTGAAACTGCTTTTCATTACTTAACCATAATTTTAAAAAGAAGTTCTAAAAAGTCTCAAATGCTTAGATCTTTCCCCTACATGCATTTGCGTTCATAGTAAAAAAAAAAAAAAAAAAAAATAATTGTATACAGGTGCTAAAAGTAGTACAAAAACCTAAAACTAAGCAAAACAAAATAATTACACCCTTTTTTGCACATATATATGTATATGCATAAACAAATTTATTATAGTAGTGTAAAATAAATATATATCTTTATAACTATAACTTTGCTCTTTGACATAGTTAGTACTGTTGAAAGTAGTAGAGTAGCTTCCTAAAATTAATTTAAATCTAAAGCAAGCTACCAAAATTAAGTTATGTTTATATCCATGTTGAAATAAATTTCTGATTTCTTTAAATTCCATCTTTGAAGCACAAATGATACTTATATCTACATGTTTGTTGTTTTTATTGATACCAGTGCAATTGTATTGAAATGTTAGCTATGTGTATAATAAGGGATGCATTAAATTAAGACTGTCATATTTTATAATAATTATTTTGAAGATCAAATTATCTAGTTATTGTTAATATAAATTTCCATTCTTTCACTGATGTTCACTTTTTGTTATTTTTTAGGCCCATCTTCTCTACCATCTAAAACATTACCACCTACAACAGAAACCTTTTCAGAAGTATATTTGGGGAAAATGTATTCGCGTAAAGTAGAGTCATTTGGTCACTGGAACATACATTTTCAGCAGCATGTACCATCTCTAGTTCGATTTAATTATTCACTTCCCGAAGGTGCTAGCATAGGTATATATGGTAGAAGAAATGGTATTCCAACTCATACAAGGTATGATTTTGTTGAGATTTTGGATACAAGAAAAAAAGATAAAAGCAAGAGATCTGCTAAGGTGAATAATTTGTACAATGTTTTCTCTTATCATTTTACAATTTATTTGAAAATATATTACTTTAGTTTGTGGTGTTGCTATAGAAACAACATGCGACGTTTTCGTTTTGTAGAATTGAGTTTTGCACCTATGCAGGGTGATGGGATGCACTGGAGAGTTCAGCATCTGTGCTGTATGCTAGAAAGAGATACTGCAGAGTATGCAGAGAGACGCTGTGCTTTTGCTTTGCATCAAAGTGTTGTTACGTTGTATATGATTAATAACATTTACTTTTGTAAATTTGTCTTCTGCCTCACCATTATACCTCTACATTGGTGACCCGAAAGTGATGGGAACATCCATCCCTGGTAGAATTTTTTTAAAAAATACAATTTAAAACAGCATTTTATGTACTTTGTTTCATACTTTCTACATTAAATAAGCCCTAGATAATGAATATGGTATCATGACCACAATGCACGAAGATCAACCACTCAATTGTAAAATATACATGTAAATTTCAAGAAATTTGAAACAAAAATAGGGATACTCTCTGTTTATCCATCCAACCTCACTGCAAAATTTCCAGTCATCGGCAACCAATTTTTTGCCGACCTAGCCCATGGAAAACAGTAGCCCTTTTAAAAAATGGCAGCACAAGGGAAATTGCATGAAAAAAAAGACAGCAACGAATGAACGAAATTAAAAATGCAAGAAACCTCCATAATAAAACAACTATCTGTTTTCCAATCCTTCTACTCATATACACAGTGATCTGTTTCAACTTAAAAAAAGAAAAATCAGAGTATTGCAGAATTCTCAAATGCAATGCAACTTCGTAAGTGCAAAACAATTTGGCACTGTTCTCCATGTGCACATCAACATGTTTTAACTAGAAAAAAAATCTGATGTGTACACCACATGACTTCCTTGTACGGAATATTAAATTATATGCCTTTTTCTTGCATTTCATTTAAACTTATTGGATTGAATTAAATCTACTTCGTCGATAGCGCATAAACCACAATAGAATAAATGCACTTATTAAAATTCACTATGTATTTGTTTACCATAGCGACACTCTGGCGCTAGTTTCACTTAACAGTATTATATTTCGTTCATATTATAACTCAGAATGCACAAAATGTCTATCATTTGAAGAATTATCTAATCGTTGCCACATGTTCTATTCAAATACTATAATAAAGCTAGAACGATGTATAAAAGAAATTAAGCAAACAAAACAAAAAAGAAACAGTTTTTCACATACGATTGAGTATTTCTCATTCAATTAATTCAGTTCTCACTTTGTGACAAGGCAAAAATACATAAAAACTCAAAATATCTGTATTAAAAATTACAAAGTAAATAAACACTTATTTCCTCGAAAAAATTCCAGAAAGGATCAAACATGATTTTAGGTAATTTGCAATAATAAATAAAGGCGTTATCTTTGTTGTTGCGAAGCTAAGTTTTTCTAGATTGGCAATAAATGCACTATTCTGCTGTTTCAAATGTAAACAAGCAATGGCTGCCATCAAGAAAAGTATTAAGCTTAGCGGCACTTAAACAACTTAAAAATTGTTGATAATTATAAAAATATTGCATACAGATTTACTAAAGGCATAAAAACCTTAACTGGAAGATAAGAACAACATAATTCAATCATTTTTAAAGCAAAAAATGTACAATTTGCAAACATATAAGAGTAAAGAAACAGATCACTGAGCCGGGTAACAGAGTGGATATATATATAAATATATTTATATATGTTTGGTGCAGCCAATTGCAACCAAAATACGAGGTGCACGTCTACATGTTATAGCAGTCCTATATACAAAATTTCAACGTTCTGAGACTACTCGTTTTTGAGTTACGCGAGATACATACGTCTTGCATACATACATACATACGTTCGTACAGGCGCCACGAAAAATTTTCTTCAGAATTCATTTTAAAGCAGTTTTATAATATTTTTGGAGGAAAAGAGTCTTTTATTTTATCCGTATGTACAGATGACACACAAAAACATCGTTAAATTGCGTTCGATAGTGGTCAAAATGGATATTTTTCTTTGAAATATGCTGCCTGAAACTTTTCACGATTACAGTACTTCCTTTTTACTTCGTACAAGGAAGTAAAAATCAGAAAATTGCACAAATTAAATTCATGGAATGTTGTATTCTACTACTAGACAAAATACCATGTTTCTGAAAAAATGCAACACTTCATTTTTCATTAGCAGGCAAACTAGTGTGGCATTACAATTTATTTCAAGGAAAAAAAAAATCCACATCCTATTCACAACAATAAGAAAACATCGACATGACACTTGAATTCCAAAACTGGATGCTTTAAACACTGGTATAATTCTCACAGATCTATTAATGAGCTACCAAATAAATACATTTTCATAAAATTCTGAGTTGTCTGCTTTGGCAACATAACACTCAGAAACAATATGCAAAATTTTTCATAGCAACACCACAAGTTGTATGCATTTGATTTAAGAAAATTTTCTGAATTATTTTTAAAGCAGGATTACTTCATTATGGAGTTTGTACAGTTTTTGGATCAAGGCTCTTGGTATATATCTGTATATAATGATGGAGAACAGCCACAACTTGTTGCCTTTATACCCAATTTGACTGGTATGTATCTAAATCCATATATGATGTGAAATAATGCATTGCTTTTGTACTGTTTTGCTAACTGCATGAAAAATTATTATTTATATGTATTTTTTATCTATGTTAAAATGTATCATCAGAAATTTTCATATATTTTTATGATGACCTTTTTAAAAAATTTTAAAGTTATCTTTTTGTATCTACTTAATCATATTTCACTACTGGTTTTTTTCAGTCATTATTGCTGCTTTAGGTTAATATTCACCTACAGTACTTTTGAGAAACTTTTAAATTATCTGAATCTAAATAGATAACTTATTTTATATGAAAGAGAGAACAAGTTTTATTATATTTAAAATTATTTCATTAGCATGTTTTAATTTTTGGTATTCAGAATTTGAAAAACTACTTGATATTCTGTAGCATAAATTGCTGATTTGTAGTAGTATGTTAAATTATAGATTCAAAATATCTATTGAATCAAAAATTTTCTTTGTTCAAGAAATATGTTTAAAATTCTAAGTCAACATTTAAAATAATTTTACCAGAATTGTTTTTACTATCTAATGCACGTGAATTTCTTATATTTATCATAATATACACATTTAAACAGTCTAAACTGTGTCTCATCACTTTCTTTCTTCTTAACACTTTTATTGTTGGTGTATTGCTCACATCTTTTCACTACACAATATAGTATTTTCTGAATTAGCTGTGTCTTTAAATTCATTGTCATAATCCACACTATTGTATGATTTGTTTCAAAAATCTTAAATTTTCTCTTATGAAGCTCATGAAACCTAAATTCCAATAGTTATCTTCAATAAATACATTCCAAGTCAATATTAAAAATATAAGCATTCATGAAGAAACATTTGCTAAATTTTAATGCTATTTTGGATGAATTTCTAGAAAAACATCTTTAATACACACCTAAAACAAAGATGAAGTAATAACTTACAACTCTAATAGAAAAGAATTATTCATTTTATTTACAAAGAATATGATGGCCTTAAGAGATAACCTTATTTAGTAGTATTGAGTATAATCTGTCCATGGGTGAAAAGTCACCCAGGGTAATTTTTATATGATAATTAATGATGAATAAAATTAATTAGCTCAACTTTCATTTATTATCATTCCATATCATTACTATCTCTAAAACTACGATAGTCCCAAATGGGATATTAGTATCAAAATGGCATTTTACGTTGAATTATTATAAACGCGATATTGCTTTTCAAATTGTTGCAACCGAATATTATTGTTCTGTATTATATTTAAAGAAATTAAATAATGAAGAATCTACATGAATGTATGCATGTTTAAAGATGAAAAAGTGTTTTGTAAAGCCATCTCAGAAAGAAAACTGAACACTGATATGATGAACTGAGAAAAAGACAAAAAAAACTGAAAAATGTATGGCAGCACTTAACACTACATCCGGAATTTTAAATTTATACTGCTATGCTGCTTTTAATTTTTTTTAATTTTGCTGTTGAATTGTATGTAGCATAAATATAAAAAAAATTTATATATAAATAATTAAGCTAAAAATAATAATAAAGCTAAAATAAGCTAAAAATATAAAGAGCTGAGCAAGAGCATAAAAAAAATCTTAATAAACCCTTTTGGGTGACTGTTAAAATATGAAACTTTTCAAATGAAATTTTTTTTTTTTTTTTTTTTTTTTTTTTTTTTTTTTTTAATTTTTATAATGCCACTGTGCTAATAGAATTTAATGTAAACAAAAGTCTGAATGTGAAAATGAGAAAGTTAGCACTTCTGTATCACAGCTAAGTAGATACTGATTTTATCTTGAGTGTAATGAAATGCAAAATTATGTAAATACACCAAAGCAAATGTACAAATATGCATATATGACCTTGTTTGTTTATCAAAATGTGCAAATATGTGCATGCAGAATGTGATGTAATTTAATTTTCTTTATTTGTTATTTGTTTCACATTTTTATTTTAATTTACCATGCACTGTAGTCTTATGGTATGTTATTTAACACTACTAATGTGCCATTTAAAGTAAACCTAATAACATTTAAAGTTTTTATTTTTGTTTCTGTATTTATTTGAATATCTAAGATTTTACTTGTAAAAAATGTTTTTTTTAACTACTTTTAGTGCAGGGACAAATTTACTATTATATAATTTTTTTTTTTTTTTTTTTTTTTTACTTATTTATGGCATTTATTTATTAGATTTGAAATAAACTGCTGTCTATGTAATTAAAAACTTTTGCTAGAGGTAAAAATAATTCCAATTCTTTTACCAGGCCTTTATAACTTTTTTTCATTTATTCATTAGAAGAGAGGAGTTTTATTTTATATTACACTTTTGATGTAACATTTTTATTATGATTTTCTTGTCCCCCTCTGCTGTGCTTTGTAGCAAGCAGTCTGTTCTTCATTTCACAAAGAACTGTTTGAGTAAAAATAAATACTCCTAAAATTTCAATTGCTTATTAAATGTTTCTTTAATTTGTTTATTAAAATGAATTACATTACATACTGAGGATATTATTGGCAGGAGGTGAACTATTATCAAAAAAATAATGTGGATTAAAAAATGATTTAAGACAATGATTAAGACATATTTCAGCATTTCACAGTGTAAGAAATAATTAATACTTTGGAAATAGTGATTTTCTGTCCTCTATTGGAGTAATTGTGTCGGGATAAGGCACTCAGTAATCAAATTCACAAAAGGAATATTAAAAGCTTAACAGGTTGTTCAGTTATATTCCATAATAATAATAGTAATGATGATAATAATGGAACTATATTTTTGTGCCTTCTAACTCAAAATATTTTTTTTAAGCATTAGCAAAATATCTAATTATTAATCTGAAATTTAAAATATCTCATATAATGAAATTTGCTAGCTATGTACTTGCTGTGTCAGAACTGATGAGCATTTTCCCCTTTCTCCTAGACCAATCTAGTCTTCCATGTCCTTATGATTGCCATGGGCATGGTACCTGTGTCATGGGTAGCTGTATTTGTGAGCCTGACTTTGCCGGTGAATCATGTTCAAGTCGTGAGTAATTTCAACTATAATACTTTATCTTCTATCTAGCTTGTCTAGTTTTGTATTTTCAGACTTTCTTTTCCTTTTACATAAATAATGATATTATCTTTATTGTCTCATTAAGCCACACATTCCTGTCAAATACTCTTGTAGGTGTTTGTCCTGTTTTGTGCAGTGGTCGTGGGCATTATATATCTGGTGAATGTTTTTGTAGTCCAAGTTGGAAGGGAAAAGAATGTCAGCTACGGGAAGATGAATGTGAAGTTCCAGACTGTAATGGTCATGGAGACTGTATTGATGGAGTATGTCGCTGTTTTCCTGGTTATAAAGGATTTCATTGTGAGGAAGGTTAGCATAAAAATATTTTAATGTTATCTATTATCGAGAGAGTTTAAAAAACGTTTATTGATGTGAAGATTTAAAATGATTTTGTTAGTTTGATTATAAAAGTTGCTGTTTTATGTATATGTTATGTAAGATATAAAGACATTGGACAAGATATAATAGTCCATAACTTTTTGATAAGACTGAAAAAATAATTTATTGAGTTTTGTTAAGAATGTTTTTCGGTCTGCTTGATACTCAAATGTTATTATTAAGTTAAAATATCCTAGTTGGAAGTCTTGGTTGGAAATTTTCAGCTACACTTATGAAGAGTGCAGTAATAGATGTTCATTCGTTTTTCTCCTTTATCTTTCCAAATAAATAAATAAATATTGTGTATGATATAAAAATTTTAACAAGCTTTTTGCCTTCCTACAGCCATTTTTTTTTTTTTCGAGTATTGTAAAATAACTGGTCTCTGTATTTTTTCCTTTCAGTTTTGTTTTAATAGTAAAATTATATGTGACTACATTTAGCTACGATTTGCATAAAGAAAGGTTTACCTTTTATAAACTGCTATTTCTGAATTTTTAAAATATCATTGAAAAAATATTTAAAATTACTTCCATGTATCAGGTGTTTAAAATCTATTTTATGTATAGATATTGTAGGTTTAAAACTAAATTCTTCTAAATTTTTTTAATTAAATATGTACTTGAGGAATATAAATAATATATTTAAATAATAGTACTCTTAATATACAAGCTGAGTTATTTATTCAGTCAGTTCAAATACTACCTTTAATGTAAAGTTTTATTTGTAATAGACAATACAAAACAATAGCTTTTTTGTTTTCAAATTTTTTAGTGTTTATATCTTAGTGTATGTTTCTTTTGTTTCAGTTGACTGCCTTGACCCGGCTTGTTCAGAGCATGGAACATGTGCAAATGGAATGTGTATTTGTCGAAAAGGCTGGAAAGGCGCTGACTGTGGTGAACCTGATTCAGATTCTCTTCGATGCTTACCTGATTGTTCTGAACATGGACATTTTGATGTAGAACAACAGCGCTGTATTTGTGATGATCACTGGACTGGACCAGATTGCTCACAAGGTCTAATGAATTTCAAAATTTTAAATTTACATAATTTTTTTTCCTAATGCACATTTAATTGTATTTGACCACCAACTTAATGACAAATTGAGATTGGTTGTGATATACTTGTTTTACCCTTGTTGATACAGAGACGATTTTTGCTGCATGGTTTTCTCCAACCAGTAATACAAAACAGGAAACAAAATTTTTAAGCACTTTTGCATTACTCCATCTACCATGAAACAGTTTCCAGGCAGTGCAGTTTAGCATCAGGTCTGGATAAGTGTGACATGACAACACGCTCACAGCATCTGCACTTTCATTTGAAGCATTCCCGATTAATTCTTGATAAGCCACATTATATTTTAAACTGGAATATAACTTAACTGGTATTGCTGTGTTTTCCCCCTTGCATTTTGAAAAAAAATTATAAAAACTTGGGACTACTTTCTATAGAATAGCAAGCATGGGTTTTCAAAATTATGGGTTTCAAAGTTAAGTTTTTAAAGTTGCCATCAAAAAAAGTGTTTTTAATTATGGGTATAATATAGTCATTATATGGCCAACAAAACAGTAATACATTGGAGCCATTGCCTGCAGGAAGTTTGTATTCATAGAATCCTAAATAGGGCATCGAGTGAAATTAGAGCAGCCTAACAAAGTAGTAGAAATAGTAGAAGCCTTTTTACAAAGCTTACAAAAGTGGAGCTGGTTGAATACTGATTGTTTATTAAATAAAGAGGTGTCAGTTCCTTCAGTACTCCACAAGAATGTTTAATCTCTGCCAACTTTGATGGTTGATGAGGTAGTATGTAAATACAAACTTTTATTCTTTAGATGATATCATACTAGCAAAATGTAAAACTTGTTAATATTAATTAAATGAGATATGCATGTTTAAGAATTTTTTTATCCTTAAAATAATCATTTGATGATGAGATGCTAATTTGTTATGTAGCAGTATTACAAATTGGTATTTGCAAGAGCATTAGGCTTCTGAAATGTATTTGTAGCTCTTTTACTTTGGTTAAAAATTTTTAGAATGTTGTTTAACTGGATTTCTGGATAATTCTTTATTACATTTTAAATTTCATTCTTATAAAAATTAAAAATAATTATCTCTTTATTTTACTATTATTGTTTAGCCTTATGTACTGTAGTCTCTTTGAAATCTTTAGAGAACTCAGTTAATGCTAATTCATTTGAAAGCTTTTAATTGGAATGAAGTGCTGTTATACAAGTTTGATTGTGAAAATAAACTTATGTGGCTTTCATTTTGTCTGCATATCAGCAATTTTTTTCTTGCATAAAACTTGGAGAAGGACAGTTTTTGTTAACACTAAAATAGCATCAAATTTCATGTTAGTACAGAAAATTTTCCTATATATTTTTAAAAGATTTTCTTATTTTAATGCATCTTTTATGAAATGTTGTGCAAAGTAGTTAAAAATCTGAGAGGGAATTTGTATATTTCCTATCAAATGCCAGTTATATATAAACGGCCAAACAAACTTCCATTAATAATTATTATCTATGTTAAAAAAATGCTTAAGCCATAAATTTCTGAGTGATCAGTTTAAAAATTAAATATTTAAGTTACATTTTAAAAACTTTCTTTAAAATTTTTGCTAATTTTCCTTTTGGGAAGCTTAACTTAAAAAATATTTGGTTTCATTCTCTTTTATACAGATTTGTAAGAAAAGACATACTAAGTTCATGGTTCATATTTTTTTTAATATTATTTGAGTTTGCTCATATATTGTAAGTTTTTTATATAAACTATAAATGAAAATTATTTCTGATTAATTTCTGTTGTTGCTTTTTGTTTAAGCTTCTTTTTCCCATTCATATCAGTCCATGTCTGCATAACAAATATTTATACTATTTCTTTTCAATAAAAATTTGAAGCAAATATTTGATATAGAATGTATTTGTGATTATAATCAATCAATAGTATTTGTAGCTTATTTTAATTTAAAATTGTTAAATATTTAACTCTTTGAAATCCAGACCCTTTGCTAATCTGTATCCTCAAAATACCAAACCGCCTGAAATAATTTTTCAGTTTCACAGCAATTTCCTCCCCTCCCCATCCATTAATGCAGAAAATAGGTGTGAAGATTTCGAATGACATCCTTTGTATTTTCATACAAAGATTCCATTAGCCTTTGCCTCTATTCTTTATAAAACTATTCTGAAGGTCAGACCAACAAGCCTTTCTTGCTTTCTTATGATCACGACTGAAATTTTGTTTATTTCCATTATTTTTATAGGAAGGAATAAATTGATTAAAAATAAATATAATCCTTAAATTTTTAAACTGAACTTTTATTGCTGTTTAAAGCTTAAAAGCACACTGTACTACAAAAGAATCAACAACCAAATGTCACGAGCAACCAAAAGATAAAAAAACGTCTTAGGAAAAGTTGTCTGCAGTAAACTGATACAATGCATTAGGGGAAACTGCACCTGCTACCATACCTTAGGGTAAACTGCACCTGCTGCTGCATACCTTAGGGGGAACTATACCTGCTACTGCATACCTTCGGGGGAGGAAAGAAAACAAGATTACAATCTCGGCCGTTTTCGGGCGGTTCTGGTTGTTTCAATGTAGGGCTGTATGGGTCGGATTGGTTGTGAAAGAGTTAAGTAGCTTTCCTTCGTATTTATCTTGTGCTATTTTCCATATTTTAGAACGATGTGATTTAGATTGTGGCTTCCATGGTCGGTGCCAAGGAAATGTTTGCATTTGTAATCCTGGTTGGTCAGGAGCAAAGTGCAATGAAAAGCAATGTGATCCCCGTTGTTTGGAGCATGGTCAGTGTGTAAATGGATCTTGTCTTTGCATTCAGGGTTGGAATGGATACTACTGTACTTTAGGTAAATATGTGTACATTTTTATCCTTATTTTTCATGTGACTATTAAATTCTAGATATTAAGTTTTAAGATTCTTAAGTCCATAAACTACAGTAATGATCAATTAAAGAATTATTGTAAATAATTCAAATCAAATGAATAGTATTTATTAAGTTTGCTGGAAAAAATATATGCTGCATATAATACATATTATACCCACAGAGGGATGTCCACAGTCATGTAATCGTCATGGGACATGCATTAGAGTTGGTGAAGATTGGCAATGTAAATGTGATGAAGACTGGTCTGGAGAGAGTTGCAGTATTCCTTTAGAAAAGATTTGTGATGACAAAATAGACAATGATGGAGGTATAGCATTTAAATGTTTTTTAATATAAAAAAAGTCTTCCCTTTTTTTTTTTTTTTTTTTTTTTAATATTAGAAACCTTTTCAAATTTTAAACCAGATTAGGATGAAAAATAATTACTTTAAATTTGTCTCTCTTTCAAGCATTCCATAAAAATAGCTTTATTCAAAATCAGACATTTGCCTTTGTCTCTAGAGTACCTTATTTGTTCATGATTCAGAAACTGTTTGCTTCAAACTAATTTTATGTTTGTATATACATAAGTTGTTAAAAGGTGGCTTCAGATTACATTTTCTTAAAATTTTGATACTGTATGTATCGGTCCAGGAAGTGCACAATTTTGCGAAAATAGTGAACTTATGTAAAAATTCTAATAGTAATTAATTATGCTTCATTTATTAAATCCAAATATCCTTTTGGTTAATAACATCATATTCATCTTTACATGCAAAAAATGACAATGATGTATTTAATTTTAAAAAATAGCAAAGATAAAGGGATCACTTGGAGATTTAATAAAGAATGCTTTTTTAAAAAATTTTTAATTGCTAAAATCAAGCTTTAAGGTTTTACTTACTCCTTAAATTTAAGTTACTAAATAGCCACAAAAAATTACTGAGTCACATACAAGGTTTTACAGTAAAATTCCAGGACTATTGCTGGTATGAGAAAATTCAAAAGCCATGTGCAAATTGTGCTCGTGGTCAATTATCACATTCATGTTTTTCATTTTGTGGACAAATCATGTTTTTCATTTTGTGCGCAATTCATGTTTTTTCTTTTTGTGCCATAATTGCCCATCAAGTATTTAAAGATACCTTTGACTACTCAAATACTGTTAAATTGGACAATTATGGTTTTATTGATGTCCTCGGTGTTTTGGAATATCACTTTTCAGAAAAAAGTTAGAGGGAGTCAAGTCCGTAAAGCAAATAGATGCTTGAGTATGCCAGTACTGATTTCATCTGCAAGAAACTAGCTGCCTGTTCTTGCAGGTGTGGTCTCACATAATGAATGCTCTTCAGCAGGTGACAGAGAACTTTTAGATAGAAAGCATAATTAGTTTTCTCTACAGCTTTTTTAAAGTGGTTATTAGCCAGGCTGGCTCTGTAAAATATTGAGGTACCTTTCAAATACCTGATCATGAGACAGGACTTTGTCTCTAAATTGTTTTGATCAATTTATGTAGCCAACTATGTATGGTTATATATAGCTGACTGCATACATAAATATCAGCAACAATTATATAGCTGATATCAGCAACAAAACTTGATATTTAGTAACTCAGTTAACCCCTTCAGGATGGGTGCATCATATATGCATCAGCAATTAATCCTATTACAAGATGACATGCCGCTTAGCGCAGCTCACCTTGATGACAGTGTGTTGTTGCACTAGTATGATCTCGCTAGACAAGATATTTTGCATCGCGAAGCCTAACTTAAAAAATTATGTTTTTATCAATTGTTTTGATTTTTTCTGTCATGGTGTCTAACAGTAATATAATCATAAATACACAGAATGTCAAGAAATTCTGGAAAAATTTAATTAAAATCTAAATGCAAAATAAAATATGACTCATCTTGACGAAATGTTGCAAAAAATTTACTTAAATCTATGTCTAAACATACATTTAAAATATAGTGTAAATAATTCAGAAAGGAGACAGTGCATGATAATCTAGTTGCTATCATTTCATTAACTATGAAACACATTTTCAGGTCAAACTTTGTAATTATTCCGAGCAGAATAATTAATCCTAGGAATCCTTCCATTTTATGCACATCTACAGGAGTATGTTGATTTAGAATGAAGATGGATTTTTTACTCATCTTTTGTTCACAGAAATTATTAGTCCAAAGGGGCTTTGTCCCTGAAGAACTATAGTTTTCATTTTGCAATTTTGCATTGGTTCACTATAAATGTCCGTTTCATTTTTCAAACTGTTGCCACCAAATGTTAGAGTCCTGCATTATATTTGAAGAAATTAAATAATGAAAAATCTGCATAAATGTATGTATATTTCTCGCATTGTGATAAAACAACAGTACATAGAGCCATTGAATTTTGAATGAGGGCGAATATGGGCATGTGGAAATCCAAATTTGGAATTTGTTTTATTATCAATTTCATATTTTGTAAATCTTCAATGAATTTTTGATTAACAAACTTAAGGATTTCAAAGCGAGCAATGGCAACGTTGTGCAGAAAAAATATTTTTATCTCAAGTGCATGAGACTGTGTATCAGAAATTCTAAAGATATACTCAATTTAAAACTATTTTGCAGTATTGCTCTTGAACTGAATTTTATGGTTTAAGTGCAAAGAATGTGATATTTAATAAATAAAGATAACAGACAAAATGTTTAAAAAAGATGCCATTTTAGACATAATTTAAAATCTGAAACCTTTCAGATGTTTATATTCTCCCCCCCCCCCTTTAATTTGTTTTATTTTTTATTTTTATTTTTTTTCCTTCAAATATTATGTTTATTATATTATCAAAGGAAGAAAGGATGGAAAAATCAATTTCATTCACATAAATTTTAATTAAATTTACTTTTGTAACTCCTGTAAATTTGTAATACTTCAATTACGTAATAGATCAAGTTCATGGCAGAGTAGCCACTGATCTGCTGGATTGCAAAGTGAAAGCAAAACAAAATTCCAATTCAGTCTCTGAGAAAATTTTGGTATCAAAATTGCTATTTTCACTTAAATCTAGATTTTTTGGTGTCAAAATAAGTCACTCATGGGCTCAAATGAAAAATCACAAGTTTTACCATTCAAATATATTCTTCTTCCCTTAAAAAGTTCTTTTTCTTAGACATTACACTATTAGTTAACTCTATTGCCTGGTGCAAAAAACTTAGTCTGCTATCTAAAGAAGATTCAAGCTGAATACAAACCAGAGTTTCTAAAACCACAGCTTCACTCCCAGTGTTCCCATAGGAAAAGAAGAAGAAACAAATTTGAAGCTTCGGAAACTGTTCAATGTTTATATCACATGAAGCCAACTGTGGATCAGCTGGGTTTTGTTTACTTTATATCATCTGCTCGTACATCTAAACAAATCACCAAAATCAGAAAGTGCCTCATGGACACAAGGTCAACAATGTATGTGTTTAAATAAGCTAATTGTAGTGGATATGGATTGCCATCTAGTGATTTTAGAAAATTCTAAAAGAATGTGTATGTTTGAGAATGCACATATGCAACACCCATCTGGAAGATCAATGCAAGTGGCAATGCACCAGTGTACCACCCAGCTGCTAGCGACATTTGGGACTGATGCGTATATGACATACCTGTCTGCAGTTCAGCAACATGCTGTCATGAAGAGGTTAACTTTCACTTCACTCTCAGTTCAGTTAACTCTTTCAAATCTTTATATATTCTGCAAGAGAGAAACAATTTGGCATGAAACTTGTAGCAAAATAACCTGTTGTTAACTTCAACCACTAACTGTTGCCTGTTCAACCACACTTTGTATAAGCTATTCTTCAATAAATTAAGTACTAAGAATTTACTGGACAAAACTACTAATATTCTTTATAAGGTAAAATTGAGTATTAGTGCAAGTATAAATTTAAGTTTATGATAATATACAAAATTTTACAAAGAATCGGTGAGGATTCATTGTTAAATCCTCTATCTGACTGTCATTATAAAAAATCTTATATGAGTGAGAAATTCATTATTAAGATTTTATATCTAAATTTTTTTCTCTAAAATTTTTAAGAATAAATCTCATGGAAAAAGCATAAAGTGAAGTAATTTTGTAAAGTGAAATCTTAAGCAAAAAAAGTTCATCTATGGTTAACGATGCAAAATAGAGATATTTGGCAATATTTGAACATTGTTTCCTCTTTGAGTGTTAAAGGAACTGAAGGAAAGGAAGTTACCATATTTCACTATTTGCGATCTTCGCCAGTGTCATCAAATAAATATCTCACTAAAACCCCTTAACCTCATATTCCCAACCAAAGACAACAAATTATTTTGAGCTTTTATTAAAAATGTATTATGTTCATACTGTAGAAAACTTATTTTATGTAGCTAAAGATATTTATATTAATTACTGTTTTAATATTAATCTTTGTAGATGGTTTAATTGACTGTGCTGACAGTGAATGTTGCAAATCTAAAGCATGTGAAGGTAATCCTCTCTGCTTCTCATCCCCTTCACCTTTGGATATATTATTGCGTAAACAGCCACCTGCTGTCACAGCTTCTTTTTTTCAACGTATGCAGTTTCTTATTGAAGATGGTTCTGTCCAAAGCTATGCACATAAAACTGCATTCAATGAAAGGTTGGTAAAAGAAATGAAATTATTGTGTCTATTATCTTCTTTTCTTAATTTTTAAAGCCTTTGTAATAATCAGCAAACAGAGTTTTTTGATTATTTATTAAGGGTACTTAAGCAATGGATTAAACACATTTGAGGAACTCTTAATGCATCATCAAGAGAGAGTATCTGAATTATATGGAATCTGAATGTCATATTAATTCAGTGAAATGTGTAGTATTTCCTTATTATTGTGATTCCTATTATTTAAATGGAGCCAGGATTATCTCCAATTTTTACTTATCAAAAAGTTGACAAGCTACCTTGCAAACATGTTTACTAATTGCATAGTGCCATACAATTGTAATTTTTAATATAGTTTAAAAAGCATTTTCTCATTTCAAGGACTTTTGCCACATAAATTCTACAAGGTATGACCCAAGAAGAGGATAAGCTTGGCTCTTTAGAACTACATTGATAACATGTAGCCTACTCAGAACATTTCTCTTATTAAAAGGATTATACATGGCTGTGGTTAGAACTGTGAGCTGTTTGGCAATAGTTTACTGCATATGTTGGCAATGTGTTATGGAGCTATGTGTTAGTTAAATAATAGGAGCCTAATAATAAAGAAAATCAAGTATAGATAAATAAATGAAAAATCAGATAGATGAATTAATGATGTGATTTGGAATGATAATAAGAATCAAGAAATTTCAAATAAGAAATATCTATCTATTTAGAGATTATTCATTTATATTGAATTAAAAATTATATGAACCAATTTTTTCTGTCAGTAGTGTACAGAATATTAATTTTCATTTTGAAAAACAATATATTAAATGAGTAGATTATATTACTTATGTATACATAAATGAATATAGTAAATGAATTTTTAAAAACTTTGCATTTATAAACTTTGATGTATTTAAATATATTACATTTTTGTTTCTTATGCTGCGTAGTATGTTTTGGAATAATTTCAATGCCAGGTATGTAATATTTTGTAAATAAATATTTAAATCAAATTATTAATCGAGTTCTAAATTTTCAGTATATAATAATTATATTTATGGAGCAGATTTTTCTATTCATGCCTGAATTCATTAATATGTTTATGGTGCTATTTGCACTTTTCTGTTTTCAGTCGAGTTGCTGTGATTCGTGGTTGTGTCGTAAGCACCTTAGGAAATGGTTTAAAAGGTGTGAGGGTTGGTGTAGGTTCTGATCATAAACTAGGATTTACCATTACTAGAGATACTGGTTGGTAAGTGTGAATTGTTGCTAAATTTGATTTCATATGGAATTTAATTCTATGTCATAATATCCCTAAATATCTTGCAGTTTATCTTTCATGTATTACCTTATCTTTTATGTAATACCTTAATATTTACACATTATATATCTAGCATTATATTCTATAATTTATTTTATATCTTGGCCTGTATGATTTTTTTAATGAAGTTGTATATTTCATTAGAGTTGCCATTTCTATCTGTGATTATATTGTTTGAAAGTTACCATTCCTATCTCTAATTAAATTGTGCAGCAGTATATACATTTGATACCAAGTGATGACTGAAAAGTACCAGTTTTATTAATGTTAAAAATGAGTAAATGATTTACAATCTTGTATTTATTTTAGGTTTGATCTAATGGTTAATGGAGGTGGAGCTGTTGATCTGCAATTTCAGAGAGAACCATTCAGACCCCATGAGCACACAGTTGTTGTTCCATGGAATGAAATTGTTGTCGTTGATAAAATAATTATGAAAATCAAAGATGAAACGTCTCCTGATCACAGATCTAATCTGTGTTTGGAGCATGATTACGACAATATGAAGCCTGTAGTCTTAGCAACTTGGAAACATGGTTTTCAAGGTGGTTGTCCTGATAAAAGTGCCATATTAGCTGAATCTCAGGTAATTATTGTTATTTTATGCTAATGAATTTGCATAGATTATTTTACATTCTCAAACATTTCGTTATTTGATTTGTTGATAAGTATTTTATTACAGTATATAATGTTTCAAAATAAACTGAACTATTTTGTAGTTGCATTTCTGATCAATCAGTTCATAGTTGTGTTAAACGTTTGAAATTCCATGTAAAAAAATTCTAAAAAATTTTCATAGTTTATCAAAAAATTTTGTATTTAAAAATGTCATTTTATTAGGGTATAAAATTAATTAAAACGATGGTAGTTTTACTACTGTAGCAAAATTTTATTAGGTTTTAAGAAATAATATCTTATGCTAACAATATTTGCCTGTTGAGCATTTAATAAGCTTGTTAAATTTTGTATGATTGTTCAAAAACAGCCAAAGTTTAATATTGATTTTCACTTATTTTAAAAATAAAGTCTGTATGCATTTCATGATGATTGACTGTTTCCTCATTGTCAGAAAAAAGTATTCTGAATCAGGCACCATCTAATCATAGAGTGTAAATTTAATCTGTATGTTTGTAGAATAAACAAAAGCAATTACGCTGTTTACCTTCTGTATTTAGGTTGTTCAAGAAAGCTTGTCCATACCAGGCACTAATTTACACTTGGTGTATCACAGTAGTCGAATGGGTGGTTATTTATCTACCATCCAACTTCGTCTAACTCCAGATGAGGTTCCATCAAGTTTGCGTTTCATTCACCTTAGGATATCTATTGAGGGAATTTTGTTCGATAAAACTTTTGAAGCTGCTCCTGCAATTAAATTCACTTATTCTTGGGATCGAAGAAATATTTATCGACAAAAAGTTTATGGAGCAGCTACAGCTACAGGTAATCATTTTATGTATTTATTTGTTTATTGGAAAGTTTTGCCATCAAATCGAAGTAATAAAACTGAATAATAATACATTGGGTATAGCAGATATTTTCTTTAGAGTTTGTAATTATTGTTATTATTGGTTATTATTGTCTTCGTAAAAAAAGAAAAAAAAAAAAAAAAAAGAAAATTACATTTTGTTTTATTTTAATGCATTTCTTTAACCTAATTTTCAAAAGAAAAGTACTTCTCATATTTAAAAATTGATATTTATTCCTTTCAATTTCAATTTATTGTGTTGTTCTGTTATGAATTGCCTGACAGTAACATCAGAACAAGCCCACAAAATTCATCGTGGCATCAAGATTGTACCTGTCATTGGCTAGAACCTTGAGCACCGTACAGGTGACAGCGTGGCTTTGCTTAGTTCCACCACCAAATTTTGATGGAGAGAACCCCAGGGGGATGGGTCTGAGGCTTTCTTACCCATCTTTCCCTACCACCAACATCTCGAGAGGACTTTTGGCTCGCTGCATATTTAAAGTGTCCTCATGGATAAGGCATGAATGTTTATAAATGTATAGTGCTGCACAGACATGCTACATTTACAAACATCCATGCCTTCTCCTGGATTCGAACTCGGGACCTTCGGTATTGCAGTAGGCTCCCCTAACCACTATACTGCCTGGGCGGCTCAGTTTCAATTTTACATTATGAAATTATAGTTTGATTTTACTGTGTAACATTTTTCTTAATTTAACATATCTGATAACATTAATAATATTAATAAAGCAAATAACACCAAATAAAAAAATTTTATTTCTTCTTGCCACGCAACAGATCTGTACAAACAATGCTGCTAAATATGAATATGTAATGAAAGTTCCATTATTACATAGAGTTTTTTTGTAACACATATCAAAATTTCATATGAATATACATAATATTTAACACTGGAGGTTCTTTGACAAGCTGACCACTTGTTCAGGTCATATGCTTACGCACCCCGGGGCCTGGTCAAGAAAGCAGATTTCGGGTACTGCAGGCCTTGGCCATTAGGGCTGTTATGCCCTTGAGTTTAGTTCATAATATTTACATAGTTTATGTAATGGGGGAGGAAATCATTGGCAAGATAGAATACTGTGAGTTTCAGTTATACATGGCTGAAAAGTATTTCTTTTAAGAGTTCAGTAAAATAATAGAAAATACAGCAACTCAAATGGCCAGGATAAATATTTTTTTTTTTTCCAGTAGCAGAAATTTCCTTGTAATACTCATCATACTTATCACACGATGATCTGAATTTGGCCAAAAAATTCTGAGAGGAAGTGCAAAAAGTAAAGTTTATAAGATGTATTGCACCTTGCAGTTTCATGACTTTAAACGATTGTGTACTATTTTTCAATAGTTCTTTGCTGTATTTCTAAAAGACTGCTAAAATGTCTTATCAGTTAGATTCAGTTGCTGACTGAGTTAGAAATCATAAATAATTTCCTTGTATAATAGAATTCTGACAATCAGCATGCATTAAAATGCATTGTAAAAATTGTCAAGTTACAAAGAAATGTCGCCAAGTAAAGGATCAAGTCGCTATGTATTATATATGTAAATTTTTTTGTGACACATTATATACAATACTTAATATTACATTATTAGAAAGCATTTAATGAAAACAGAATGCTAGGTTTTTAAGTACAATTATTTCACATGAAAGAAAAAGTTTATGTATTAGAAGTTTAAGTTAAATTTGGATTGCTTACACATGAATAATTAACCAAAAATATTCATACCCCAAGAATTAATACAAAAGAAAATACGGCAGGGAGAAAGAAACAAATTGACGAGTAAGTTTTTCGAGGAAACAAAGAACTCTTGTAAACTTGCATTATGAATATAATTATTATGAAAACAGAAGAATATATACTCAAAAATTCGTATTAATGTAAAAAAATTACTTTAAAAGTAGTTTTATGCTCTTAATTGAAAGGGAAAAGAAACAAACACACTGTTTACAAAAAAACAAAAAAAGACACTCTGCAGTAGAGTATCCCCTACACTAATTCTGCCATTACATTCCTGAACAAATGTAACTGTACATATATTACCTATGTAATTATTTTGAAACCATCAGAATATATTCTCAAAAGTATATTATTTGAAGCAAAAAATTTACAAACCTTTCACTGTGTATGTTCATTATAAAAAGAGAGCACAGACATGAAAGTGGAAAATGCTAAATAACTTTTAATAATAAAATGAATTCATTTTTTCTCTCAAAATATGGAATGAATAAAGAGTATTTTTTAAAACTTTGTTTGCATATATATGTGTAAGATAAAAATATGTAAATCAAAATACTGACTGTAGTGTGTAATAATCCCTTAACACTTTATTTTAATTTGGGCATTCCCTTTTTATGTTCTAAAATACTAATTGCTTATAATAAGTCTCTCTAAATTAAATCATTTCAAAATTAAACCCTGTCATATGATTTTTACATAATGCTAATGGCATCATACTTACTGGCTTCAGTCAATAATACTTTTAGAAAGCTAAATTTAGTTAATTAAAACAAAGTTAAACTAAAACTAAGTCATTCTGAAATAAGATTTTGCATTATTTGTGTGATTTTTACTACTTCCAATTTACTGCTGCTTCTTTCTTCAAATATATTTAACCCTCTGAGCGTTACTGGTTTAGCCCTGAAATTTCTGAGTTCCTCATAATGTCATGAATGTCATGTCATGTTCTTGATTTTAATAAAAAAATTACTCATTCATTTTGTACCTTGATTCTTTTTCTTCCATTATACATCCAAATTGAAATCAGATACATTAAAAGCTAGCAGAAATTTTCATGAGTAATGAATGTAGAAGGCAACCTTCTATATGGAATTTTCTGGCCTTAATGCTGAGAGGGTTAAAAAAATTTAGAACTTCTTCAAGAACAGGTGCTTGTTATGCCAGTTTATGTAGTAGCTTATTTTTTTTTTTTTCCGACAAGAATAAAGAAATATTGAAATTGCCTTATCTGCTAATATCTTTAATGCAGCTATCTTTTTATGTATTGGCTGTCATTGTTAACAACTGTGTTATGAACATCTGTCTTAAGTATTCAAATTATTTTAATTAGTTGAATAGCATAAAATGAGTCTGTGCTGATAAAATTCCTATTAAATTCATCATGTTAAATATTCTGAATATATAATTCTTTTAAATCTTTTTTATTTACCTCCAAAAATGAACTTGGATTGCAACTCAGAGAAGAGATATAATTTATTGGAATTCTACCACAATAGTCTTACAGAAATACTTTTTATGATTGTACCATCAGATGTATTAAAAAGTTTATTTCACATGTGTGTATTCTAGCCTACTTTTAGCCATTGCTTAAACAAAGTTTTTCACAATCCCTACCTTAATGTACAAGATAGCAAAATATTTTTTCAGGATGTTCATACAAGCATTTGGTTGATTCAGATGTCAAGCAACAAAAATCAGCATTATATTTTCAAATTTTCGCAGGACTAGTTTCGATGGTTTTACCGAACCGCCATCCTCAGCTGCGGAAGCGCAAATGGATTGCGCTTCCGCAGCTGAGGATGGCGGTTCAGTAAAACCATCGAAACTAGTCCTGCAAAAATTTGAAAATATAACGCTGATTTTTGTTGTTTGACTTCTGAATCAGTATTTGTTCATCATGTTATTGTGTCATCATCACATCAACCTATTTTCACTTAAAAAAAATCAAAGAATTGCACAAACTAGGCTTTGCGCACTAACTTGACTTTGTCCATGTACACATAGAACTATATTCACTTAAAAAGTCAAAAAAGCAGCCAACAAAAAAATATATAATCTGAATAAACTACATTTTAAACCAAACAATGAAATAACATAAAAAAAGAAATTCATCTTAGCACTACACGAAGGAAATATCCACTTACCTTATTTACGAAATTGCATGTCTTCAGTCAAACAAAATTCCTTAACAGCATCCAAACACTTCCTAAAATTATCTGAACTAGTAAACCTTCATTTACACACCAGTCAATTAATGCTTTCCCTTTCATTCCAAAACCTACAGAAACTTCAAATTAATCTTACCACATTCAGCCAATTTACTGTGTAAACCACAAAATAACAACGTACTAATCCATCACACACAAGCCCTTACCCAAAATCTGACACACACTTTCCAAATTTCTTTCCATGATTCAAATTCACCACAACCAATTACATCAATAATAGGGTTTCCATAGCCTTCAACTACTCAGGTTGTCATAAATGAGACAACAACTCGGCGATAAATGAAACAACAATTTCGCAAGAATACAAGGAGTACCCTAAAGTCAACTCTAACCTAATCTATTAAAACTGTTCTACATATCATTACATTTTTCATATAAAAAGTACAAACTGAAATCACCTGAGAAGAAAAATATGTTGGTTTGTAATAGTCATAAATATTTCGCTACCTAAATTTTTTTTATTGATAGTTACAACTGGATAACTAAAATTTTGGTATGTCACCTTGACATGAGAACTTTATTTTTGTCTAAAAAGTAAATTATGTTCTGATAAATTTTAATAAGTGATGTTGATGTTATAGCAATGCTTGGTGCAGGAAAGATAATGATAATGTAAATCTTTTAAATTTAGTGTCATAAAATTGGAAGAAAAAATATTTTCATAAAAGTTAAGTCAGCAGCAATAATAGTTATGTGGTTTTAAACAGGATTTTATCTCTCTTGTTCATCTTAACTATGCTGTGATACAGACTGTCAGATAAGCTACTGCAAAGAATCCTAGAAACGCAAATATAGAATGGAACTATGTGGTCTTTATATAATATATTTAAGAAAGTGTTTGTAGATTGATAAGAAAAGACAGGCATGTGGACCTAAGGCTTTATCCTGAAATCTGCATGCATATATTTTATTAAGCTTTAATTTCAGTTAAAAAGAAAATTTTCTATGTTATAAAATGGCATTTATTTTAGCTCATTTAACCCTTTGACACACGCGATATTATCTTTATAATTTTTTTAACTAAAAACTCTAGAAATTTAATATTATGATCCTAGAGACAAATAATATATGAATTTAAAAAAATCTGCTCTTGCCCATTGTTCTGTGGGTGGTGGTCGCACTGTGAAACCAACGCGCGTCTAGGACTTGGAAACTTACTGATATAGTAGTACTTTTCCGCGCATGTTTCCAATAAATGACAAAATTTACGGATTTTTAAAAAAATGTATCTAAGAATTGCATTATATATAACTTTTTTACATTATTTTACAAAGGAAATCATCAGAAAAAATAAACGTTTATGTAATTTTTCTATAGCAATGAAAATATAAGTACCTACATAATAAGGACATTTGGATAAAAGGATTAAAAAACTCAATAAAATAAAGGATAAAAAAGTACTCACTGTTGTTGTTTTTTTTAATTTAAAAGAACAATATTTTTGTTTGTGACACTGTTCAAAGCATGTTTTGTCTTTTTGGTACATGCATAGACCCACATTGCACGTTTCGCACATACATCTTGTTCTGAGGTTTCTTCCTTGTGCTACAAAATGTACACTGCCTGGATTTAAATTTCACTGGTATGTATGTCCAGCGTTATTTAGTTTCTTTTCATCTGGCACATGAAATTTGTGGTTTTTTATGCTAATTGGGGGGGGGCTTGGTCTTTTTGGCTTTGTACGGATCATTCATTTCCCGTTCATACTTATTTTATTTGTATTTCGTTCCAAAATATTCAGAAAATATTTTTAATTTAAATAAAAATTTTACACATTTTCTATTTTTAATTATAGCAAAGTATATTTACATTAAATTTAAACCACAGGAAATAATTTATAAAATCACAATACTAGCTTGGGGAGCAAGTGTGTTGATGTCAGAGAAAAGTATTTGGAAAAGAAAGACCTTTTTACTAGGCAGGTGCATGTATTGTTTAGTAATAAAATAACTCTGGGGTTTCAAAGCCCTTTATCTATATCCAGGTATAAATAAACATTCCTATTTGAAAAGCAAGCAAATGCCATTGAGAAGCAAACGCCAGTGGTTTCAAGGCGCGACCACCGAGCCTCTAGAATATTGTAAGCATTATGACGCAATGCTCTAGTGGCGCAGTGGTCGCACGCTGAAACCACATAGCAAATGCCATACATATAGAGGGTTTTTTTTTTATATATGCAGTTTAATTACTGCAATTTTTTATTGTTTATGATAGAAATCATGATGTGCGATGACTAACTTTTGAAATTTAAAGTTTTTTATATTAATAAAAGGAAGTTATTTTGTCTCATCGAAAACGAATTTTAAAAGGCATCCGATCTGAAGTATTAATACCTAAAACATATAAGATTCTACAGTCATTTTGTGTTATTTAGATGTAAAAAATCAGTAATCAATTCATTTTCACTCAAAAATTTCGGAAAAAAGAGGAGAAAACTAATTCAGAAAATGGTGGTTTCAAGGGGCAATCACCATGCGTCCAAAGGGTTAAGTGGTTTCTTTCATGTTTCAAGTAATTGTACTGAAAAACCTAGCATTCTATTTTCAGTAAATGCTTTCTAATAATGAAATATTGAATATTGTATATAATGTCAGAACATTTACATATATGATTTATACTGACTTGATCCCTTAGCAAAATTTCTTTACAACTTGACAATTTTTATAATACATTTTAAGCGTATTTGTGACTTTAGTTTAAAAAATTTATTATATTTTATTTTAATTATATTAACCAAATTGTTGTTCACAATAAGTGGTGTATTTTCTATGTTTTTGTATAAAAAAGGTAGGACTTCGGAAATATGATAAACAATATACAAATAATAACATTAACTGCAATCCACACTAAGTAGTATCTATTGTAAGATTTTACATTTTTTTTTTAGTTTGAAATAATTTCTCTCACTTCTAACCTTAATATATAATTTATTCTAAATCCCTTATTTCTTTCAGTTTATGTTGGTTATGAATATATTTCATGCCCTCGTATAATATGGGAAGTACAAACTACTCAAGTCAGTGGCCATGACATGAGCATATCTGAAATTGGAGGATGGAATTTAGACATTCATCACCGATATAATTTCCATGAAGGCATGTATTTTTTTTTACTTAATATTTTTATAAACAAAAAATGTGTATTAAATAAACATGTTAATAGTTTTTTTTTCCTGTCACACTTTAATGAACATATCTGAAATTGGAGGACGGAATTTAGATATTCATCACTGATATGAAAAATATATATTAATTAAACATATTATTATTATCTATAATACTTTAATTTACCTGTCAAATAAATATAGTATTATAAATAAGAGAACATATCTATTATATATAATTTTAAATTATGCATATTTCTTTCATTCACGTACAATCAACTCCCACTTGATCAGGAAGGGGGATATTAACTGGATTCTGTCTATTTATTGTGTACAGTTGAAAAATCACTATGCAAAACTATTGGCGTAAAATTAAGTTGTCTATAAAAAGTACAAAAAAGTGATAACACAAGTGATAGGCATTAATAGCTATACTAGTTTGGAGTTGTTACTATTCATACAGTACATAATTTAATTGCACATAATCTGGAGTATACAAGTCTTGTTAAATTATCGATTAAACATAAATTACTCAGTCATAAAAATAAATGTAGTTTACAGCCTTTAAAGTTTTATAATTTTCATTTATAAATGAATTTCTTCATTTCTAATGATGTTTAGTCTTCAAGCTTTTTCAGAGTTACCTTTTGTTTTGAATATTGGTTTAATTTCCATAACCAAATGAACTTATTCTCCATATTAAAGTGCTTGAAAATATGAGTAAATTCTTAGTAGTATTTCAGCATTAATTATAATTAGTGCTGGTTTATTCTCTCTTTTTTAATACTGCCTTTAGACTAATATGATTATGATTCAGCTATGGATATTGTCCAAGGTATTGCCCCTGTAAACTGGGAGTTGAGTTTTCAATGTTTGTTTAATTTTGTTAACTGCTGAAAAACTGGTAGAAGGGAATATTTATTACTTCATTTTGAACTGCTCAGTATAACATTCATGATTAAATTCAATCAGATTTAAAATCAATATGAGCATTTGTTTCAATTAGTTCAAAAACTGATTGAGTTCATTCACAAAATACTTGCTTTGATTAATCCATTGAGAAATCTGCTGTCTGAGATAATTTTGTCTTATCCAGCTATAAGTAACATAAATCAAATATAGTATGTAAATATAAAAATAATAAGTAAATATAGGATTTGGATATGCTTCAAGTGCTTTGTGCAGCTGTAGTAGTGGCAATGAAGATCTTAATCATACTTTTCGTGAATGTGTTCCTCATGTCCAGCAGAGAAATATATTCCAGGCCACTTTAAAGCATCTGTCTGTATGTTGGCCACCAATGTTTTCTGAACTTTTATGGACTGAAGAGAAATTTTTGCTTATCAGAATTTCATTCTTAATTTATAATTATTGATTACTGAGCTCTTTTTATTTTATTACTTTATTTTATTTTTCAGTTTTTTCTTTTCTTTAATTTTTTGTTCCCCCTCCCTTTGCAGTGCTACTGCCCTTTTGTTATTAATTTTGTTAGTGCTATAACATACTTGCACAAGCCTTATGGTAAAATTTGTGGAACACGAGGAGTTGGAGCCAGAGTTTATTAAATGTATCTATATAAGACAAAACCTGGATGACCTTTAAAAAAAGTGTGAGGGCATTGAGTAGCATGGAGAGCATCACTTTTTCATTAATTCCACATACTAGTTACAAAATGATTTTATGCATTTATTGTCCATTAAGTGGAATCCAAGATAAAAATGTACTTTTGAAATGCTTTAGTTACTGATGCGTTCCTTATAAACATTAACTGTTATATTATGGCTGCCAAAAACATGTAGAGATATGTAAACAAGCCTGAGATTATATAATCCTCCCAAGAATTAGTCCATTTTACCAAGATTGCCTTCTTAAATATCATTTTTAATAATATGTGCAATATTAATAACATATCTCTGGGGGTTGCAAATCGACATATAATTAAAATTAATCCTTTAGGCAAAATGAGGCTCACTAATAATCGGTACATGCCCTTTTATTGCCAGGTCCAACCAAGATGTTTGATTCACAACATTCTACAGATATGTGACTACAGTGCAGTTAACCTTCCAACATGCACGCTTGGCAATTTTACATGAGCACGCACGCGTTGCATTTTTTACGACGTTGGTTATTTTATCGTTTTTGGCATGAAAAACGACAGAAATGAGTGAATATTGATAATGAATTTGTTAAGAAATAAAATATTAAACTTATTATTGCAAAATGCAAATGATATCACATTCAAATATAGGTAAATTATTTTTAAGTTCTAATGTTAGTGAGATGGGAATGCAATGATGTATTTCATTATAAAAAATTTTTAATTTATTCTTTAATATTTTATTATCGAATTATTTTAAAATCGAAGCTAATTTTAATATTCATCAAAGACAAGTATAGACGTAAATAAGGAAAAACACCTTGTAGGAAAAAAAGTTAGTATTACTTACTTCTGCAAGGAAATTTACTTCTTACTGGTTACAAAAACGCACTTTAAACTAACTTTAAAGTTTTTATTTATTTCTAAAAAATAGAAATAAAAGAAAATAAGGAAAGGAAATTGCTATTTCTTTCCCATCCAAACGGTTTCCTTGTCTTCCTTTTCTTCATCAAATAATTCTTGAAGAATCCGAGCAAAATCAGCTGGTTGCACATATTCGTTTGCCATGAAAACCGATATAAAATTTACAGAACCAAATGTATTCAAATTAAAATAATGCACGGCAATTAATAACACAAAATTACAAAATATTTGAGAAAAAGTATTTTCTGAATTTTAAAACACGACCATGCGTGTCATAACTTTTATGAAAAAACTGCCACTTAGCACAAAAGCCCAGTTTTTAAAAAAAAAGTTAAATGACTTCCTGTTGGCACATTCCGTGATGTGGCGAAGGGTAGAAAGGAGGAATAGAAATAACCTTCAGACGTCTCAACTTCGATATGCAAAAAATGTGCATTAAAAACTGAATTTGTTGTAAATTTTGCACATACGCACGTGCTGGAAGGTTAAAGAAATGTATGCAAGGAACTACCACTCATGCAGGTCAATCCCATGTAACCACTAAAAAATATGGTGGTCCTTGATGCTACACACTTTTTTTTTTAATTTCTGCATTTGTTTCATTGATTGGGTAGCATTCAACATATCACATGTGGTTTCATTTGGGTGGCTGGTATTTGTAGATTTCCTCAACAGATTCTTTTTGTATATTTTTGATAATCTGGAATTATTTATTCTTGGGTTGCTTGTATCTAGTGCAATAAACCTAATTTCCTAAATGATTCAACTACACGTTGTGGTTCTTCAAATGAGTTTTTGTAGCATTTTTTTTTTTTTTTTTTTTTTTTTTTTTTTTTTTAGATAAATCTGTGGCATAGCTTCTGAAGGGGGGGATAACAATACTCTTGGATGCAAAGCTGTACAGAATTACATAATTGAAGATATTTCCTTGTGAATAACATTGCAGAAACTATCATTACTCTTTTCAACATGAAAAGTGTTTTTATTTTGATATAACAGTGGTAAATATGCCCACAGATAAATTCTAGATGTTATGATCTTCAGTTTTGTGTGCAAACAATTGTTAATTATGATACAATAGGATTTCTTACATTTGGTTATTTCATAACTTAAAAAATCAATTTAAATTTGTTCATATTAACTATTCCTGTTAACAGAAAGCTTAAAAAACCACTGCTATTAACCAAAAGCATATGAAAGTGCAAGCATCTTCGTATCTTCTCTAATATTAAATCAAGGAAAATTGCCTGTCATTAAGTATGTAGCAATGTTAAAGTTCTTCAGCACTTTGTGCAAGGTATTTCTTTTAACTTAGGAGTCTAAACTTCCTTTCTTTTCTTCCTCTTTTTTAAAAGTATCTTTTCTTTGAATGACGTATCATTTTATCTCCTTGCAAATACGTACATTATTCATTATTTAGCAATTCAGCATTTGTGTTTTTCTTATTTAGAGAGCAACATACTAATTTTTGTGAATAAATTTGATACTGAAATAATATTTGGAGAGGTTTTACTTTTTTAAGTGAAGAATTCAGTTTAATTTTCTAAAGGCATGTAAATATAGCTTTGAGCTAGAAGGTTAAGAAAATGCAAAAAGAAATTCTTGAATAAAAGAATTCTTAAAATTTGGAAACTTTGTTGATTGAAATAAAGATTTAAATATTTTAAAAAGGAAATACATTCCAATTTAATCCATATCTTCATGTTTAATACATTTATTAAAAGAATTTTTATTGCTTATTTCAGGTATTCTTCAAAAGGGAGATGGCACAAACATTTACCTGAAAAACAAACCTAGAGTTCTTGTTACAACTATGGGGGACGGTCATCAAAGACCTATGCATTGTCATCAGTGCGATGGTGCTGCTAAAAAACAAAGACTGTTAGCCCCTGTTGCTCTTGCTGCTGCTCCTGATGGAAGTCTGTATGTAGGAGATTTTAATTTGATTCGACGTATTTCTTTGGATGGCCATGTGACAACAGTCGTAGAACTTAGGTAAAGTATTTCCTAGCATTTTTTTAAAACTTTTTCTACATATCTAAATAATAAGAAAATCTGACATTTAATTCTTTTAAAAACTGAAGAATAATGTTTTAAGCATTATTTTGATTAAGTCAAAAATTATGATCTTTATTCTTAAATAGTATTTGAATCAGTAAGTCTAAATAGTGTGACTGCAGTAATGAGGAGAGTGTTGTACTAGTGTAATTGGCTAAATTTTTAGATTGATCAATTTATTTAAATATCTCTGAAAAAAATGTGTTACAGATACCTCAGTTTTGCATTTATATTAATACTTTTCATTATATATTTATTTTTGTTTATAAGATAGAAACAAAAGATAATACTGAAAATGCCTTGTATGCAGTAGAAACTAAGATCTTTTGGAATATACTCCATATTTTCTTTTTATTTCTTTGTACAAAGTAAAAAGAAAGTATTATAATCGCGAAAATTTTCAGGCATCATATTTCAATGAAAATATCCATTTTGACCGCTATCGAAGGCAATTAAATGATGTTTTTGCGTGACATCTGTACGTAAGGACAGAATAAAAGACTCTTTTCCCCCAAAAAAATTATAAAACTGATTTAAAATGAATTCTGAAGAGAATTTTTCTTGGCGTCTGTACATACCTATCTTGCATAACTGAAAAACAAGTAGCCTCAGAACACTGAAATTTTGTATATAGGATTGCTATAACATGTAGATGTGCACCTCATGTTTTGATTGCAATCGGCCACACCAAATGTATATAAATATATGTATTGTTATGTTTTTCTTCTGACACCAGCTGTTACGTTGTTTTCTTCCTTTATGTTCTTACGGGGTTCGTGTGAATTTGGAGTGAATAATGACGACACAACTTGATGAAATATCAAAACTCACTTTATTTAGCCAATTTGAATCAGGAACAGCTCCAAAGTCACTTTTTACAGTTGTCGAAGATCTACTATAAACACGCTGGAACAATCAGTGACACAGCCTTCACACTGTCAGGCAATAACAGTGGAGACAGCTTTACTGGCAAGCGCCAGAGTACAGCTCCCGACTCTGCTCGGTCGTTTTCGGAACTCCACGTACTCTTGAGACTCTCCACACTACAACTTGCAATGCACTCGACGACACACAGAGCACAGCTCCTCCCTCTTCGGTTCAGTCGTTCTCAGAGCTTAACACACTCTCTTGACCATGCACTAACCGCGAACTCCTCAAAGCACTCACCACTCGCTGGCTGGCTGGCTGTCAACTCGATTGTCTCCGCACGGACTAACTAGATGAGACACACATACTCGCTGTCTCGATGAGGCACACACACACTGACTGCAGACCAGCAGGGTTTTTATAGCTTTTGGCTTGTGTTCGAGAACATTCTGGGCTAAACTGGTAAGAATTCGTTGCAGAAAGTTCTCTATCCGTCCATGGCATATCACCAATTTTGTCACCAAATGTAGCAACCGTGCCTTCCCTTGCCATTTTTAAGGCAACCCTAAAAGTGCTTTGCAAGAAAGCTACCTTACTGCACCTGTACATTTCGTAACGCTGCCCCCTCCCAAGGACTTCATGTCCCGGGCAGTACAGCCCTTGGTCAGAAGCCTAATTCGATACAAACAAAACGTAATGAAACAAACATAAGATATAAATAAATAACATAACTAAAGAAACAGATAGTTACACTATGTACAAGTTACATACACAAATTAAACACATCACAATTTTAAATTATACAAATTAAAGTTAAGAATGAATTTCAGTCTCAGTCTTTTCATTAAGTTATACCCAGGTCAAATACATTTCCACTGCAGTTCTCAGATGCATTTCTGTATTGCATATCACAATCTGAAGATATAGTCCTTTCAGACTTTTCATCCACAGGAAGATCTGAAACAGTTTGTTCACCACACTGTAGTTCATTCGCAGCATGCATACAGTTCACCTCGGTATTTAGCAGCTGGTACGTACTCGTTTTCCCCGTTTTCTGGGAATCAGCTTCAAATTCTGCATCAGAGTCATGAACGGAACCCAATTCTTTACAAACAGAAGCATCCACTTCTTGATGAAATATTGAAACTTACTTTATTTAGCCAATATTAATCAGGACAGCTCCAAGTCACTTTTTACAGTCATCGAAGATCTACTATAAACACGCTGGAACAATCAGCGATACAGCCTTCACCTTGGCAAAATAGCGGATTTGTTGCCAATCTAGAGAAACTAAGCTTCGCAACAACAAAGATAACACCTTCTTTTATTATTGAAAATTAAATTATGTTTAATCCATTCTGGAATTTATTTGAGGAAATAAGTACTTCGTAATTTTTAATATAGATATTTTGACTTTTTATGTATTTTTGTCTTGTCATGAAGTAAGAACTGAATTTGAATCAGAAATACTGAATCACCTGTAAAAAACTGTTTCTTTATATAATCTTTAATTTTTTTATATATCATTTTAGATTTATTATAGTACTTGAATGGAACATGCGGCAATAATTAGATAATTCTGCAGATGATTTAAATTTTGTGCATTCTGACTTATAAAATGAATGAAATTTTATGCTGTTAAGTAAACCTAACACCATAGTGTTTCTATGGTAAACAAATATAGTGAATTTTAAAGAGTGCATTTATTCTATTGTGGTTCATACGCTGTCAATGAAGTAGATTTAATTCAATCCAATAAGTTTAAATGAAGTGCAAGAAGAAATGTGTATAATTTAATATTCCGTGCAAGGAAGTCGTGGTGTACACATCAGATTTTTTTAATCTGTTCTATAGAATGTAATTTTATTTGTTTGCTATATTTGTGCAATTTAATGCCATCTGACTTTTGGCTTTTTCCAGATGTTATATTAATTCTGAAAAAAAAGTACATTAATTCTTGAAATTGACAGCCACAACAATATAATTAAGAATTGAGAAGAATATCTTTTCTTTTATATAAGCCCAAACCATGTTGCAATTTCATTTCAGAATACGTAACTGAAAAATAACTACTACATTAATTAGTATTGTCATAGATTCAAAATAATTACATAAAAAAGAATTATCCTTCACAAATTATTTCAGGGAATATCAGGCTATAGAAGCTAATTAAAAAGAGCATATGTTTCCTTTTTCTTATTACAAATATCACATTTTATGATTGCATCTCATGCTTCTACTTTATATTGTTAACATTTCTGAAGGCACTGTTGAAAGTACCTGCATCAAAAACCTTGTCAAGCACCACTAGCTGTTTAGTTAGCACATATTTTATTTATTAAGTAAGTGCTAACTGAAGTTAATAAAATATGTGCTAAAGTATTAAAAATAAGTTAATTTCATTCTTACCCTATAAGAAATCCTGTTTCATTGAGCTATTTAGTAAATATGCAATCATTTCATGAATAAAATAGGAATCAATTCTCATCCGTAAAAAATTACTGCAATTTTACAGATAAGCAGTATTTTTATTATAAATAAGGTTCAGATTATAAAGGCATTTGTACATGTATTTTATTTTGTTGCTGTAAATTGTTTGGGAATTTTTTAATGCATTTTGTTGATGTAGGCTGCGATTTCACCAAAAACCAAAGCTGAAGCTTTGAAATGTCCTTAGTTTCATTTTCTGCATTTGAATGCACTAGTTGTGTGGGATTTGCCTTCTCAATTTGTAACATGCATACAAATTATTTTTCAATAAAAAGTCCTTCTTGAAGTTAACCCTTCCTTTAGGCTGATAATCTTTATTTACTTTTTCAGTATTAATTAATACCCTCAAAAACTCTCTGTTGTCAGAATTTTAGGATTATGTGTTTACAATGATAATTAATATGACTAAAAACATTACATATTATTTTATCTGGAAGTAAAGCCTTGATTTCTGTATTCGAGCTATTATCAGATTCATTCTTCTTCATCATCTCCAAATCAAAAACAGAAATATGTTTGTTTGTGTAAAGCTGTAGTTTTATATTTGTTGTATTACCATACATATTTATTAGTATTAATCTAAATATTCCATATATATAGTGTAGAAAGTATAATACATATTTTTAGTATATGATCAATAAATATGATTTTTTTATTTTAGGTAATTTTTATTCTTTTATTTTTATAGTGCTGCTCAAGTAGCTTACAGATACCATTTGGCAGTAGGCCCTGCAGATAGTAAATTGTATATTTCTGATCCTGAGAAGCACCAAGTATTTCGTGCAATTGATTATATCAATATTCCTGATGTAAAAAATAATATTGAGGCAGTTGTAGGCAGTGGTGCAAAATGCCTTCCTGGTGATAAAGTGCTTTGTGGTGATGGGCGAAAAGCACGAGATGCAAAACTTGCATATCCAAAAGGTAAAATTTCTGAATGTTAAAATGGAATGTTTTGTGTGAAATGCTGAAATTAAATAAGCATGCAAGTAAGTTATTCCCCCTTCTGTACTGAATAATATCAAAAGTTAACATTTATTAACTTTATATTATATATCTTTATATGCACTTCTAAAAATAAGTTTTTGAGTTTGCTTGTTTTATACTACCCTTACCCATGGCCATAAATTATATATATCTTATGTGTGCTTATCATTAGCACTTGGCTAAGATCTTCCCAAATTTATAAAAAAAAAAATGTAATAAACTAAACATTTCACTTGATGTATTATTTATTAAAAAATTAGCACAAATATGATAATCATTTTTAGATTCCTATCATATGGATACATATCTAATACAGTAAGAGAAATATTGTTTACTTGGGAAGCATAACACCCCTCAAATTAGGAGACAGATTTATGCACTCTAATATAGAATTCCTTTGCATATATTCATCATATTGTGGGTCATTCTTTTGTAGCATATATGTCACAACTCATATGTGTGTTAATTTCATGCACTCTCAACAAATTTCTCTTGAGATATTGACCCTTTTCCCTGTGGTTTCATTTTGACATTTGTTTCTCGAGAACTATTGCAGATTTTGATGGCATTTTAACTGAAGGAATTCGGAACCCAGCTCAGAACTTAAAGACTTCATTTTGGTGATGGTAGATTGTAGTGCAAAATGCATGAGCAGATACATATGGTTATATGTATGAGCAAATACATATGGTTATATATCCATGCCTACTCTACAATCTACCATCACCAAAATGAGGCCAAAGAGGCACCACAGGCCAGAGGAGGAAAAAACAAATAGTGCATCATTTGGGCAGGGCAATCACAAGTTGCAATGGTGCTTATGTGACGATCTTTTGCAGAACCCTTATTGTTTGTATATGGTGCAATGGGATGAGATGGAAGCACATATTTTTGGTTGAAGTTTTTTTTTTTTTTTTTTTAATTACAATTTAAAATACATTCTGTGTACTTGCAAAAGTTCAGTTTCCTTAATGCACACATACGTTTGGCAGTTCTTTGGCAAACTTGGTAAGTTTAATTAAGTCTTCTTTTAATGCTGGTTGTATGATGAAGTGTGTATTGAGCAGAATGCCTCATGCAAACTGCTTTCCATTCTTTATGTAGGAATTAATTGATTTTGAAGAATAATTATAAATTCATTAAATATGCAAAAAGGGAGATCTGCTCCTGTTGGTGATCAAATGATTGACGTGTATTCTGTTTCATTTTTTAAATTTTAAGTAAAAAATTAGGGATGAAATGTTCTTTTTCTGAGCTTCCTTTTCTGAGCACTCTTTTCATCTCAACAATATTTATATTTGTATCATTTTAAAATTTAAAGTGCTAGTTATGATAGAACTGTATTCTTTGGCAGATGCACATACTTTCTTGTATATCTAGAGTTCTCAGCTTTAGGTTGACCACTAGTATAGTCACGTATATATATCTAGGTAGCTGCATTTACAATGCAATAATGTATGCAAACTTGGCTGCTGATTTCAGGAGTTTGCTTACAAAGTTAGTTAGGAAAGAGATGAAAATGATGTTGCAGAAGATTTTATAATGAGCTGGATTAAGGAATTAAAAAGCCCACAGGCCAGCTTTTGTGCACCCATGACATACAAAATGTTTTTCTACTAGATCTTAGTGCAAATCAGAATCTCTGTATAGGCAAATCAAAGAAACTAAAAATAGGAAAGTCACTGATGTTAGGAAAACCAAAATATGCCCCACATTTGCATCTCAACATGGATGTAAATTTGGATCCATGTTGGAAGGATGGAAACCTCATTTTTTGCTTCACACACTTTTGTGCAGATCTTCCATTTGGTCAGTAGAAATATTTACATTTGATACTCGCATATAGGATTAGCAAAAGCAACTATCAGATCAAATTGTCCTTTGCAATTCAGTTTTCAACTAGAACAAGTGCTACATAGTTTTAAAAATATCTAATTCGTTGAATTGGATCCAGCATATGCTTTTGCTTATTATTGCACAAGGTGTAATGGATATCATTAGTCTGGTACTATGCATTGATAACAGATTACTGTATGGAAAATGCTTCACTCTTGCAGCTTCTATGAAAATGCTAAATTGATATCTCATAATAGGTTAACAGGTAAAAGTGAAAGGGGCACCAAAGACTTCACTACAGAATCAAACAGGTATTGCCCCAATACATTAACCAACTACAGTTTCAAAAATTGGAATTTTGACTGTATGCTTCTCCAAAGGAACACGGAACACTGGAGTTATGTATCAGAATTGTTATATTTATACATAAGAGGATAATAACATAAAATTAGGCAAGTTATATAACATAACACAAACTGCTGAGTATATTGATTACAGTATTGGATTATGCGAATACAATAGAGTTGATATTTTGGAAATCATTGCACTGGAATTTGCATTTTTATGTAAGTAGATAAACATACAGGATTTGATTTTTCTAATATGTTGGAATCTTGTTATGTGAGGAATTTTGTTACAGATAAGACTGTACTAAATTCAGATCTTTCAGTCCAAAGTTCATAAAGTTCATGGGTTCAGTTCAGTATATTTGGTGTTTTGAAGCATTATAGAAATTGTTGATGTTGCTTAGCTAATGGGCAACACAAAATGACATCTTCCTTGTAAGTGGTCAATGGAGGCCATACCTCTGTTACATGCAGGATATAGGAACAAAGTAACTGGTTCCTTTACTAACATCTTTCTGACAGCAAATCATGTCATTCAAATTTAATTCTTGAGTAGCTTGTTAAATAACTTCCTTATTAGGGCCATTTTGGAGGCTATTCCCAAATATCTTCATTGAGGTCTTGGCATTCATTTTTTTCCAGCTAATAACAACATAAAGCACTCAGTTTTATTCTATCTATTTACATATTTGTGACTATGCAAGAAATGAAAAGCAATAAAGATTTGCATATTTAAAACAAAAAATTGTTGAGCACTGCTTATGTGCAGATATTTTCTGCAGCCTTTTTTGGGGGGGATTAATACTTTAAGTCATACTACTAGCTGCCTGTTTAAATATTTAAATTAAGTTTTATTATAAATTATGGGTTAAGGAAGGTATTTTATTTATTGGTTTTTTCCCCCCTGATTAATATAGTTTTGTACTTGCTTAGCATTTGTAACAGCCATGCAGGGTTTCTTGTAAATTTACTGCCACAAATATGGTATTCAAAGAATTTTTTGCTATGGTTTTATGACTGAAGCCAAATTCTTGATGTAAAAATACTGTTGCATCTATATTCCAATTCCATGAAGAATAACGGTTTTTAATCAGTTAATTGTGTTCTTCTTGTCGCAGTTAGGCATAGTATAAAACAGTGTGTATCAATTATTTTATATGTGATATATATATATATATATTAATTTGCAATTATAATTAGTAATTTGTTTTTAAATTATCTGGAGCCTTTAAGAAATTTCTGAACCTAGAAATGATCTTAAATTAGGAAACATGAAATATAGTTGGTATCCTTTTTTTAGTTGTTGTGCTAATATAAAATACACTTTAGTAATGAAAGCTCTTTTCATTCAGCTTTGCTGCTTAAAGTAACATATTTTATAAATCTTTCATATTTAGTTTCCAAACATGTTATGTAGAAATGTACAATTTTCAAAAAGCTAAGTAATAATAGTTTAATATATTTCAGATTATTTTAAAATTATACTGATGTGCATACATTATAAATTTTTATTTACAGGTCTTGCAATATCTGCTTTTGGTGAAATATACATTGCTGATGGAACAAACATAAGAATGGTTGATCGAAGTGGTATAATACATACGATAGTAGGAGATCACTATCATAAAAGCCATTGGAAGCCTTTTCCATGTGGAAGAACAGTGTCTTTAGCTCAGGTAACTGAACACATTGTTGAAATTGTTTTTAAGAATTTTATTTGAAGTTTATTTAAGGAAAAACTTAAAATATTTCTGCTTATTCTGTACAGTTGCTAAATTTTTTTGAAAAGAATACAGTGAACATTAATTTGTAATGTTAAATATATTAAATTTGCAACATTTGGTACATTGTTGAATGTATTTCATTTGGCTATATTTTAGTAACTTGCTATAATTTTGAAATTATGAATTTACAACTTTTTCTTGGGGTGGAAAATCACTTCATTCTTTTAGATTTGTATAGTTTTCAACTTCATGCTTTGACTTAATGTTAAAAAAATATAAAAAATTAATATATTTATAGCTTTTATATAAATCAAAGCAGTTTGGCTGTGCTTTTATAGCTAGATAGATATGCATATTGGAATTATTTGCTAGAAATATGCTATAAAAATCAGCTGTGAAATAAAAATGTAAATTATATTTCTGAGATAAAAGTTACTTGAAAAAAGTGCAGAATTCTTTTGTACTTTTAGCCTTCAGTTGGAGAATATTTCACAGTACAACACAGTGATCTTTATTTACAAATCATGTTCATATCAAAATCGTAAAAAACAACCTTGTATTTAGCGTAGGTATAATGAAACACTCATTGAGTGTTTTTCAGTGTTTCATTATACCTACGCTAAATACAAGGTTGCTTTTTACGATTTTGATTGTCACATTAGCGTGTTTCTCTTCTAGTTCATGTTCATATGTTTATAGTCAGTTAAATATGCACATCTGGGTAATGTTGAATGATTTATGTATATATGCACTTGTCTTCTTTATAATTCTTTAATTTTATGAAAAAAATTATATTATTTTTGTATTTGCGATATTGTGGCAACCTGTTATTCTTGTCCATAATCTTATCAATGATTAAAAAAAAAGGTTTTTTTAAAAACTAAATCATGACAAAAGTATAATTGGTTAGAATTTTAACTCAGTTTTTATAATTTTTTATCAAATTAAAAATATGCTATAAACTACCTTTTCCCATACAAATTGTAACAAATTTGTATTTTTGTCATTACTACTGTGTAATTACAGCTCCTATCTGTAGTCATAAATTGTGTTATTAATAACTTCAGTTCTGAATGCTTATTAACAGAATTTCGTTATATATATATATATATCCTTATTTGAAAAGTTCTTAGTATTTTAAATTAAATTCTGACCATAGACTCAAATATAATAAATTATAATTATTATATAAATATTATTGTGTGTCTAGAGCAATATTTTTTTAGATGATAAAGCAAATGATGTGTTTTGTGTTATTTTTAATGTAGTACATTTAATGAGCTTCAGAATTTGTCCTTCTTCAAATGTTTAACCAAAGAAATTTTAATCGACCATAAATGTTTTCTTTGGTTACTTATTCTAAAAAGGCATTTACTGCACTTGCAGCAAGTTGTTGAAAAAAACAATCGTTACTTATAAATTCTCAGCATTATTTCATTTAAAATAGGATTGTTTTTTATATCCGATGACAGATTGAGAACAGTTACAGTGTAATACAGTCCATTAATCTATACAAGGCCAGATGCAGTGGTCTCTTTATTATTTAAAATAGTTTGTGTGAATTTATTTATTTAAGATATTTATTTTACATTAATAAATAATAATCATACAGCAATAAAAAATTGCTATAAAATTTTATTTCTGTTTAAAAATTAATTATCTTTTTTAGTTTTCTTAAATTATTCTTTTGAGGGAATTTTTACTCTGTATAAACTAATGTACTAATAATGTGTTAATATTGTTGAGCAATTTTGTGTTAAGGCTATATATAAATTTAATGTGTTTCAGGTTCATTTGAGGTGGCCTACTGAAATGGCTATAAATCCATTAGATAATTCTTTGCACATATTAGATGATCATATAGTTTTGCGTCTAACACCTGATAAGCGGCTGAAAGTGATTGCTGGGAGACCTATGCAGTGTCCTGTATTACCACCATCTTCTGAAAAGTCTGACATAGCAACTGAAACCTATCTTGAATCTCCACAAAGTATTTCCTTCTCACCAAATGGAGATTTGTATATTGCAGAAAGTGATTCTCAGTTAATTAACAGAGTAAAGGTAGTAAGCAGTGAGGGCAGGATTGTAACTTACGCTGGTGCAGAATCAAAATGTAGTTGTATAGATGCAAAGTGTAGTTGCTTTGATGAAGACCATTATTTAGCATCTAAATCTCAGTTAAGCACAATATCGTCCATAGCGATAACACCTGATAATTGCCTGCACATATGTGATCAAGGTAATCTGCGAATTCGTTCAGTTGTAACCTCTTTGCCCAAAGCAAATGAGCTGGGAGAATTTCACATTTATTCTTCAGAAACTCAAGAAATTTATATTTTTAATCGTCATGGCCAACATACTTCAACTAAAAATATTCTTACTGGAAAAACAAAGTATCTATTTTCATATAATGTTAATACTAGCTTAGGAAAACTCAGTACTGTTACTGATGAAGCTGGGAATAAAATATATATCCTAAGAGATTACAGCAATCAAGTGAATACAATTGAAAATACGCAAGGTGGCAAATGTCACTTAGAGATGTCTAGAATGCAAATGTTGCAAGGATTCACTACACCTGATAATTTTAAAACATCTTTTGAGTATCAAGGAAGCACTGGTTTGTTGAGAAGCAAACTGGACAGCTCAAGAAAAGCATATGTGTATAACTATGATAGTTATGGCAGGCTTATACATGCAATTACACCAACTGGTCAAGCCATCAAACTCATATACAACTTGAGCATCAAAGGAGCTTCTGTAACTGTAACACAGAATGACAAAGAAGTGCTGTCGTTATTAATCAGAGGTTTAGATGTAATAAAAGAAACAGGTATGTCCTATTTTTGGTTACGTTTTACTAAAATTTTGATATTTATGAGCAGACATATTTTCTCTTCTACCAAGTAAAACTATAAGGGTTATTTATAAAGTTCTGGGAATTATCTTCATACTGTAGAGTCATTTAGTTTAGTTTTTTTTCACCCCGTGGATGGGAGGTCAGATTTGGAAAATCATCTATGCACTAATCAAACCAGAACACCAAGAGCTTTGTGAGTGCCCTTGGTGTTCGCATATGTCTAGTGAATATTTTATTACTCTTGAGAAAGTTGGAGTATTACCAAGTATAAGGAGTATAAGAATTTCAGAATATTACGAAGTTTTGGAGGCACATTGTTTTGTTCAACTCTGCCAACTGATAGCTAGATGTGCTGTTACCCTAAATAATATATGAAGAAATGCATGATTGGTGTAGAATTATTGGCATTTCCATGAACTTTCATGGTCAACAAGATTTCATAATCAGTTTTACTTTCATATGTTTAAGGTTACATCATCTTGTGTCTTAAATGCTTTTTTTTTAAAGTAATTTTGCATATTTTAAATGTAGGCTTTTGCAATTCAAGTTTATAACAAATAACATGACTATTTTTATAATTTTAGACTGAAATTTTATTTCTTCCATTCATTCGGTTTTCCTATCATTAACTGCATTTTTTATGCATTCATGTTTGTGTCTATATTTTTCAGACATCTAGCATTCAGCACTTCCCAAGGTTTCCTGCTAGTCACACTTTTACTTTATTCATACATATTTCTGTGCCATTTTTTATAATAAAGGCTAATTAATATACACATTGTTGAAATATAAATATTTTTGTCATCATCTACAAAAGAGCATTCATGCTTTGTCTTTTTCCACTTACTTGTTTCTAGTATTTATTGTGGAAATTATTAATGCAGGTATATGTTTTGAGAACTTAACTTGAATGATAAAGCAATTTTCAAAATTTATTCTTGAATAATTTTTTATTACTTAGCATCTTTTCCCATAAGGAAAATGATGATTATTTGATACTTTCTGGAGAATATATTACATAATCATAATTGTTAGAATATCAAAAACATTTCTATTTGCGTAACCATGGTACAAACTGGTCTTTATTAAGTCTGTAGTCTAAACATGCCACTACTTATTGGTAAAAGTCAGCATATTATTCAGTTGCAGAAAGTTACTTATTAAATATATAACATTATCAAATACATGTTTTACTTTCTAATTAGGTTATGTATCCCAAAAATCAATCAGTAACTAATCTTACATGCTGGTATTTCTTTTGCTCTGGTAGAAATTTTATAGTGATCTCTTTAACAACAGATTCAAAACAAATGTTCTGCCCCCCCCCCTTTTTTTTTTTTTTTTTTTTTTTTTTTTTTGTATTCATGCAGCAAATTCCACATGCACAGGTTTTAAATTTAAAATATATATATGTATGATTTTTCTATAAAAAGTGTTAGAACTTGGAATGCAGCAGAAAGAATGCATATAAAAGTAGTCTTACTGATTTGAAAAATTGTTATAGTGTGATTGCTCAAAGAACAATTATGTGCATAGTTTCCAGAGCTTGGCATGTTTTGAAAATTTGGCAACTTCTACTAAGGTGGTTGGGCTAATATAAAAATGCTTTTTTTTCATATGTAAAACATGGTGTCTGCTAAAAACATCACATCAAAAACCTTGTGAATGGGGAAAACATGATTCAAAACATTGTAGCAGAAAAGAAAGCAAGGGCAAAACATAGCAGCTCTAAAACATTGTTATAGAAAATAAAATGATATAAAAACTTCACAGTTTTAAACCATCATTATTCACAAAATCGTGATTAAAAAGTAAAGTGCCTACAAGTTATTACATGATAATTACATCACAGATGTGAATTTTCTTATATGTATATATATATATATACATATATAAAAAGTTAGCAGATTTTCACATAATGATTTTTGAGTATAAGGAGTAATATTTTTACCTCTGTATTTCATATTATTGTTTTAACTATTAAATTTATATAGAAAAGCAAGAAGGAAACTTAAGCATTCAAAATTTGGAAATTAGGAAAAGTTAATGCTATGTATAGCAGTTAATAACATTTTAATTTATATTACTAATTATTAAATTTCATAACTTAATTAATCTTTTTGTAAAAGATGTATTAGTAGATTTTCATATAAGAGAATAGTATAAAAGAGGAAAATATATAAGTTTAAAACTCCATTAATTGTTGTACATAGCATTAATTTTTACAAATTGTGGTTTTTGAATGCTTAAGTCTTGTTCCTTTTCCAAAAATGCATTAATTAATACAAAATATGAAGTATAGAGGTAAAAATATCGCTTATTTCTTCTTGTGCTGATAAATTACACAAAAAATCTCTTAAAATATTTTCAGTTAAGAAAATGTCTTAAGTGTTATCATTGTGCAATGATTCGTAGGTGCTTTTTTTTCCCCCTTCCTTCATGATATTTTACACACTAATGTACTAATGTTTTAAAACTGCCAAGTTTTTTAATCACTTTATATTCTATAATGATATTTCATACCAGGATACTTTCTCCACAATGTTTTTATATGTAATCCTATAATATAGGATGTTACTCACAGCTACTACAATACTAATTTTGCATAAAATAGGTAATTTAGAAAGAAAGCAAATGTGCATGGATAAATAATAATAAAGTTCTAATACTCAGTTTTAATGATGTAATAACAAATTCAGTGCTTTGTATTAAAAAAAAAAAGAATAATGAAAAGGATAATTAGAAGGCAAGATTAAATTATGAAATAAATGTATGACTTTATAATAACTGATAGTTTTGAGGTGAAGATGAGTGCCATTTATCTTTGCACTTCCCATAGTTACTGATATTAGTTAAACAAATACATGGCACATTGTTTGTAAAAATGAATAATTTATTTCATTATATGTTATTTTCTTTTTATTAGGTTTTATTGCAATAATAGCAGTATAATTATTTGTAAATTTTAATTCATCAAAATATTAAGATTTTACTGGTGCATTTACCCAAACTCAGCAACTGATAAATTTGTAACTCAAATCAAAGCAGTATTTTCAGAATTTTTCTGAAGGTAATGTATCTTGTTAACATAAATTTTGTGACACTATTATTCCTTGCTTTGATTTAATTCTTTTGCTTAATTTTCAGGTCTTATGCTGCAGCGCATTACACAATTCCAAGATGGCAGTCTCATTTTGGCTCTGGATGATTCTAAGATTATTGAAATGGAAACAGTTCCAAGCCCTGTTATAACAGATCAGAATGAAATATTAGGAGAAATATTTCCTGTTCCTGCTAAACTTAAAGCTACCTTGAGTGATGATGTAATTCAGAGATTTGAATGGAAATATTATCTTCGAAGAGAGGGGAAAGGAAAGAATAGACAGATTACTCAAGTTGGTCGTAAAATGAAAGTAAGTTTGTTTATGTTTGTTGTGTGATTATTATTGTGTAAATTTTGTTTTAAGCATTCCATGAATTCCCCCTCCCCCAGTCAAACTCTTAGTTTAAGTATGATTTCTGTAAACTTATGCAAATGTGCATGGATAAATAATAATAAAATAATGGATAAAGTGCATTTTTAGTTAATGTATGTTTTTTTAACCCTTTCAACACAATGAAAGGCACAAAAATGCATGCACAACTGAGGCTGGTTTTTCTTTCATAAGCATTTCTCCATGGCTTAAGAATTTTTCTGTACTAAACGTAAATCCATGAAATTACAGAAAGATGAACATATTGTTTAATAATGTTTTGTAGAATATATATGTGGCATATGCTTTATATATATGAAAACAAAAAAAATTATATAGAAATATGCAGTCATTCCCAGTATTTTTGTGCATTATACCACTGAAAATTTATCAATAAATATTTAAAGGAAGAAATTTAGAAATAATTTTTCACAAAGACCAAAAATTGGAATTCATAATTAATAAAATTCAATAAATCCTTTAAATGTAGAATAAGAATTCTAATTGTTAAAAAAAAATTGAAAAACCAAAAATAAATAAAAAAGAACATGAAAAATTAGGAATCCAGTTACCGCTAATATAACTTCATCAGGAGGGGTATACACCAAATTCAATTACAATTCCTCTTCCATTAGAAAATCTTTGCTTTTCTGTATCCAAATAAGCTGATGAACCATTCCAGTATATTTTTTAATCTTAACAGTTCATTTGAAAATTCTGGTCATCCCCAGAATGAGGAAGAATAAAGCAAGCGTACAAAGTAAAATCACAAAAGAAGATTTTCTCTGAATTTAAAATGAACCTTTTAAAATATGAAAACTTGCCCATATAATATAGAAAAAATTAGTGAAAACATTAAATATCTTCAGTGAATAAATAAATTTAAGTATATAGACATATTCACATACTCCATATACTTACTTTTTTTTCCTTTCCTTAATTTAAATATTTTGCACATTAATTTTTTTTCAGTGTTTACTGGTAAATTCTGACATTATACATTTGACAACTTAAAATTCATTTTTGGTCTGATAAATTTTAAACCAGAGATCTTCACACAGTCTTATGTTACAATCATTGCATTCATAATTGCTCATTTGCCTTTTTGAAGGAGTGTGAATATATAAAGCATCAGTGTTGCACTTGTCTTAGAACATTTATTTGAACAAAGCACTTCTGTCTGTCTTTGAAAGCAGTTATTTTAGGTTCTTTTTCTGCAAAACCAAAATTTCAGCAGTTTTCAGTTTGGATAGTCAAACATTTCAGTCATTCCTTTCTCCCCCCTCATTACAATTTCACAACCAGTATTTGTTCCAGGTTTAAAAAGCTCATTCACCAGTCACCAGTGATGGAGGTATGAAAAAAAATATCAGTATTTAAATGATACGACAAGAAAGTTCTTCAAGTAGAGATTTAATAACTCTTTTCCCATATAATCTTGAAGTTTCTTTTAATTATATTTCTTTTCCTGTATAAACAATAAAGTTACAATTATGCAATCTGACTTAGATTTGCATAATGTTTTAAAAGCTTTTGTCACTTATATACTGTAATGCTCAAAACAGAAAGGTTTCACATACATAAGGTATAATTCTGGAATAGAAATTGTCCTGCAAACTCAGGCACCCAACACTCTTGGGGGGAACTCCCATAACGTTCATCAATAAATACCACAAGTGCACAAAATTACCCAATGCTCTGGGGGGGGACCTCCCATAGCATTCATCAATAAATACCAGGTGCACATTTAAAGAGCCCTCAGGAAGCCTCTGAGTCCCAAAAAATGCCTTTGGCCTTATGTTTTTATAATCAAAATCCAAGTGCATAGACTCATCTTTGTCCCATTTTTAGTAGAAGGTCAAGTCTACATGTATCTCAAATCCTATGGACATGTAACATCATCTTGTGCAAAAAATATTAGTTTCTAAAATGTTCCAAAACTCTGACATGAATGCATGATGGGCAAGGAGGAATGAAAATATGCTCTATCATGCCAGTGTGCCAGCCAGGAAATAAGTGTGTTTCATGCTAGCACATTTGGATCATAGTTGGTGTGAAAGGGTTAAGTAGTGAAAATGCCCCTTTCCCCTCTTTTTTTTTAAGGTTATATATTAGTAATAAAGGGAGCTGAACTCAAATAATTTTATCATTCATTGAACTTGGAGAAATCTTAGACAAGTGAAGGCACTATTTGCTTTGTGAATTCCTTGCTGTTACCTAAAGCTGTATGGAATGCATTTTACAGTTAAGATAAGTGCAATGTCTGTAGTTGCAACATATTGTTTATTTGTGTGTTTCAGAAACAAAGGCTGGTTTTGAAAGAAAAGTTTAATCATCATCAACGTGAGGCTAATTACTAATTGACTAGCATGCTTGGATGCAATTATAGGAGAAGTACATCACTTAAACAATACAAGCTTTATTGGAGAAATCAACAAAAATCAATGTAATATTTGTAAATTTTGCGGAATTTACAAATATTATACTGATTCTTGTTGTTTGGCTCATGATTTTTTTATACAAAATTTTCAAATATTAAATATTATGCTGATTCTTGTTGTTTGACTTCTCCAATAATCATTATTCAGCATCTTATTTTAACCTGAAATACAAGTTTTGATTCCTTGGTGTTTGGTTACCCAATAAAATAACCTAAAATAAAAATTACTCTAAATCACCAAATGAACTTGTTATCATTATCATCATTTACATGAAATTGCTATCATTGTGCTGCCCTTTTAATTTCTAATTATTAGAGATGAAAATTGAAGCCTCTACACTAATTCTGTAAGGAAATCTACCTATGTGAGTTACCTGTTGCTCTTACCTATGTGAAATATTTTACTTTTTTTTGGTACTTGCATATTATTGCAACCACCTTATTAGAAGTCCTCAAATTTTGAAAATGTCTCAAATTCTGACAACCATGTGCATAACTATTCTTCAAGCAATCATGCTCATGAGAATTCTTTAGTCAAGCAACATCACCACTTTTATATGCACGGTGGCTTATCTGTAAATAGGTTAGCTAGGCTATAGCCTACAGTGACAAATTTTCAAAGGTGGAATTTTTTTCTGCCCAAAAGCAGAATATTGACTTCACAAAATTTCTTATCTGTCCAACTGGTTCTCGGTTATAAGCTACCTGGTGGCAGCACCATTTGGTGATCTCTCTCCCACATCACATCGATATTACATTGTCTCTTGTTTTGAAATTCACCACAGAGCAGGAATATACATGGCAGCACCGGCTGCCTTATTCTGCAGTGTCATTTGCAATTTTTTTCTTGTTTTACAGATCTAATGCATACAAATGGCAGATGATAGAAAGTATTCAGGTAGATGAGAATACAAAACAAAAGTCAGAGGAGAAACAAAGAAAATTTTGAAGAAAACTAAAAAATTTACTCCTTCTTCTTCAAAAGTGCTCCAGAAACACTGGTTCTTCACCAAGAGCACTCTTGGTGAAGAATTCGAAGATAATATACCCAGAACATCAAAGGAGATTAGTGTTTTTTCAGCCTTATGTGGAGGTGAAGATGCTACAGAAAACTATGATGAACAAGAGGAGAATTTTCAAAAAATAGTATCATTATTATTGTCTCAGTTTTTTTAATTTGACTAAGACCTGCAAAGTGGATTGGTAATGATGAACTCACAGATTTTGTTGCATGAAATGGATACTTTCAAAATGCAGATTCAAGATGAGTCTACAGAGATTAAACGTGTCTTTTGAACTCAATAGTCTTCAAAAGAGAGCTTCAAAATGGTGAAGTTTCAAACTGGCAATGGATAATTTATTCTGAAAGAAATGGTAGAATTTACTGTGAGCCTTGTCGTTTATTATCCAAGTGGATACATCTTTTTGCAGAGATACAGAATTAAATGATTGGAAAAATCTGAAAGAATGCATAGAATAGCATGAACAATCTATAAATCACAAAAATTCTGTGGTGGCTCTTAGCATGAAGGTTTCCTGTAAGGAAGCACAAGGGAAACATTATTGGACAGAAGTTTTGCAATACATTGTTATCATCGTAACAAAGTTAGCAAATTGAGATCTTGCGTTGAGAAGTTCTGATGAAATTCTTGGATTGTGTCACGATGGAAACTTTTTAATAGTAGTGAAACTAATACCTGAATTTGATCCATTAAGGAATTATGAGAGACTGGGTAGTGGTAAAATAAATTATCTTTTGTCTTCGATGTATGAAAAAGTGGTACATATAATGGCTCAAAAATGCAGAGATGTTATGTCTGCCAGTATAAGGACGGCTAAATATTTCTCATTAATTGTGGATTCAACATGTGACATCTCATCAGTTGTCATAAAATATGTCCAAGAACATAGAACACCAACATATTTATTCTAACATTCATCCAAATATTGGACATAAATCCAAGGAATTGTATACTGCTATGACTAGCACCTTGACATCTCTTGAAGTTAATTTAGATGATTGTAAAGGCCAGTCGTACAGTAGTGCTGCGAACATGTCAGGAGCCAATACTGGTCTCCAAGTGAGAATTAAGAATGCAAATTTGCTGAATTTACACACCCTGCTCAGCCTATTCATTGAAATTCCCCCCAGTTCAAGCATTTGGCCCCCATGCAGTATGAATTTGAGACCAATGCTTTAGAATACAAATATAATGATGCTTTTTCAAGTGTTATGATATGTAGAAGTAATGTTACAGTATATCCAATGTAGACCTCCTAATGTGAAAATTCTCTGTTGATTTAAACAAAATATTTATATTTTGCTGAATTTTGCACACTATTTACATATTTTATTGGCTGCATAAAACTTTGCTTTTTATAGTACTAATGTAAGCAAATAAAGTATTTTATAGTTCTAATGAACCCATATTACCTTACTTATACTAAAATCATTATATTTTGCATTTTAATATCTAAAATGTGCATCTTCAAGAAGTTAAGGACTTCAATCTTCAAGAAGTTAATGACATATTTACTCATATTAAGCTTTATATGTATGTGCATTTACTTTCAGGTAAATGGAGAAATATTAGTTGCTGTTGAGTTTGATCGAGAACAGTATAGTGAAATTGTGTATGACAAGAATCAAATTCCTCTCATAACTGTGCATTATGATGAACTGGGTCGACCTGTGCAGTGGCAGCCAAGCCAAAATATCACCCCTGTTCAGCTGAAATATGACAAATTTGGACGACTGGAACGATGGGAAAGAGGTTCGCTTTCTGAACGATATTCATTTGACATCAATGGACGTTTGGCAGATATTCGTTTCTCAGACAGTAGTGGCATTATGTACAAATATGATGATGGACCAGCTGCATTAGTGAGTGTCTGAATTTTCCCTTTAAAATAAATTACAAGTCATAGACAATTTTTTTCTTCAACCAATTATTTAGTATTATTAAATATTGGTCATTTCATGATTGTTTTCACTTAAGTCCATTTTAAAAGACATAAGTATATGAAGCAGAATTCCAGGGCTGTCATCTTCACCCATGGTACTATTTGAACAGGCATCGTCATAGACATAACAACAATCACAACAACATATGAAGCAGATTACTCCCATCAGTATGCCACCATAATTTAAATAATCATTTTAGTCATCACATTAAATTGTTTATGTATTATTGTTTATTCATTAACATTTATGTATTCAAATGGTTGGAATGTTCACCTTTGTCATATAATTATATAATATCTGTGAATTTATATTGACCTGTTTTTAATTAATTTAGATGAACTTTGAAGAAAAACAACTTTTAATGTAGTAAGTAAAGTAGCCAAAATATTAGTTAAAGTAGCCAAAATATTAGAAAACTATCTTTCCCCAATAATACACTGATCCACTGTTAGCTTAGATCACAACTTATATTCTTACAAGCATAGATTAAGGTACTGATATTATTCTTGAGGAATGTTAGCCCATGCTGACCTAATGGCAGCTCTTATTTCATTCAGATTGAATGATGGCATTTCCAGTCTTTGGAGTGACCATTCCTCTTCATCCCGCAAATGCTGATTAAGGTTGATGTTGAACTGAAAAGGAGCAGTTTTAGCTTCAAATCATGTTCTTCAAACCAAATTGAAATCAATTGTGTTTGCTGACAAAGTGCTAAAATACTGCAACCATAAATGAGTACATATTTTCAATAGTAATACTGAGGTAAGCTGTGATGCTAAGAATTGTTTCCAGACATATCAAAGGACCTACAATACTTGAGAAAAATATTTGTGTTTTCGAGTGATAACTTAGGTATACTTGGTGGTATTCAACTGTTAAAATCCTTCCATTGTGTCCATTGTGTTGAAGTCTGTTGTGTTGGATATCTGAATATGCTTTGTGATGCACCTGAATTATATTGAGCTTAAAACTGTTGTACTGTTGTCCTATTCCTGCAGCCATTTTGTACCAACTGCCTTTCACAACTTTCATTCATTAACATTTTCCAACCGTAATTGTCCTTAATGGCTCAGTTACCACTCTCTAAATACCCAAGTTACTGTTGTGTGAGAAAAACCTAGAGCATTAACCATTTCAGAAACAATAGAGTTTTCCAATGATAATGCCTTGTTTACAGTCACTCAGATTTTTTGTTTAGCCATTTTCATACTAACTGAATTGATAACTTTTTCTTCTCGATGAGTGTGCCATATATAAACAGTTTCTAGCTTTTATGTCAATAAATATCATTGGCAGATCAGTTTTGTTTAAAATAACTGATTTGTCGGTGTCTACTATTTGTTTGTATTATGTTACTTCATTTCACATACCAGTTCTTCATCTCATTGACTTTCAAGCCTGTAATGCATTATCGATTAGGGTGAGATAATTAATGCCTGAAAAAGTTAAATAAGAGGTATTAAAAGAAGACAATAAATTAAAAAAAGAAAAATTATTCAGTTTTATGACATTTTTTATCTCTAAGAATTAATACTAGTGCTTCTTTAGCTAAGAGTCAGTCATTACTTGATTTGTCTGTAAAAATATTTCAGTAATACATAAATATTTCTTAGGCTTTATTGAGATTTGCAATAAATCAGGATTAATATTATAAAATCAGAGATATGATAATCTTGCAATTATTAAATTCAAGTCAATTCCTGTATATGAAAAGTAACACCAGAGTATCTGGGACTCTTCATCACCTCTACCTGGCACCATCTGTATTACCTCCTTAATCATCAGGTCCAATGATCTCATTTTTTATATTCATTCATTTTTGGGCTGGAATTGCAAATATGTATTTGCATAGTTTTATTAGACATGATTTCTGATCAATATATTCTTTTTTTTTTATCTGCAAGCATATTTTGTATTGCCACACAAAGGCAGAGTTTAAAAAGAAAATGGGACAAATAGTAGTATGTAACTGAGCAGTGAAATATGGTGACAGTCCTATATATAGGGGATGTATGGCCACTCTATATATAAGTCATTAGACAACATATATGTGTATATTTAATCTATGTATAAGAAATATAAGTAAGAAATGATTTTTGTTCTATAATTATAGTTAATGCATAAAATACTAACTTTTTTTATTATTATTTCTTTAGCCTACGGAAGTCATTCTTCCTAGCGGAAGTCGTTACCTGTTACAGTATGATTCTGTTGGAAGCCTGCAAAACATCATTATGCCAAACGGTCATAAACACGAAATTGCTATTCAGATTTCATTTGGTTTTTATAAGCAGCTTTATTTGTCGCCAGGTGTAAAATATCCATACATTATTCACACAAATGAACTTAATCAGGTTTTAGTTAAACAGCTACCAAAAAATAAAGGAAGAGTTATTTATAAATATGATGAAGGAGGACTGCTTTCCACTCAAGTTTGTGGCAGTGAACAGACTGATTTTACATATTATGAACAGAAATCATTGCTAAAATCTGTGGTGAAAGTTGCATCCGGAATAGAATTGAAGATAGAATACAGATACCATGGTTCACTGCTAAAAGAAGAGAGACATAGGTTTAGCAGCCGAAGTGGCATGGATAGTGCAAAGTTCAAGTTTGTTTATGATGGTCGATTGTCATCAGCTATTGTTGAAATCAACAGTAAAAGTTCATCAGAAATAAAATATCGGTACAATACTGAAACTGGCATACTTGAACAAATTCAGCATTTTATAATACACAGACCAAAAATTAATAGTATATTCATACAAGATGAAATGAGGCAATATTCTAAGACTATTGGCTTAGATGCTTATGGTAGGATTGTTGTTCTTGCTGTAACATTATGGAATAAAGAGATATATTCCCTAAATCTTTTGTATGATAATCGCAATAGGGTGAAACAATCACGTATGAAAATAGGGCGTGAAGGAATGATAAATGTATCTAATTATACTTATACATTAGATGGTTTTATAGAAGAAGTGACTGGCAATGATAAGTGGAAATTTTCTTATGACATTAATGGCAATCTTAATAGTATCTTCGATGGACAGCATCAGTTGTCCTTACGCTATGATGACAGTGATCGCTTATTAGCATATGGTGAATCTCTATCTTATTCTGTTGATGACAGAGGATTTATAGTTCAAAGAGGTGAAGAAAAATTCCGGTTTAATGCTGATGGTCAAATGACACATGCATTTCAGCTTCATCAATATGAAACATTTTACTATTATGATCACAGAAATAGATTGGTTGCACGCAAGGACCATAGAGGAAATGTTACTCAATATTTTTATTCTGATCCATTGCACCCTGATCGCCTTACCCACCTCCATTACCCTAAAGATGAGATGACCTTTATGTATATATATGATAGTAGTGGTCATTTAATGTATGTACAGCAAGATGGAGTAAAATACTATGTTGCTAGCGATCACCTAGGAACACCAGTTGCATTGTTTAATGCTGAAGGTGCGATTATCAAAGAAATGAGCCGTACACCATTTGGTAGAATGTTGTCTGACAACAATCCTGATTTTTATCTTCCTGTAGACTTCCAAGGTGGTATTAGAGATCCCCTTACAAATTTAATACATTATGGTGGTCGTGTATATGATCCTCTTGCAACTCAGTGGCTTGTTCCTGATCTGAATGTGATCCAACATAAGTTAAAAGCACCATATAGTTTACATCTGCATAGATTCCATGGTAATGATCCTATCAATCCTTATCAAGAAATAAATCATCTTACTGGTAAGTATTTAAGTATATATTTCTTAAAAACTGACTGTGTGCTTTTAAAAAATTATAACTTACATTGTAAGATTTAGAAAGGATGTAGTAAATGTATTTTAATGTTGGTTTATACTTCATATCTGCACCTTGTCAATTAGCAGAAGGGCTTAAAAATATTAAATTTTGCAAATTCAATAGGTAGAACCTTCCTTTTTTCATTGTTTTTGGTAATAACTTGGTCACAACAATACCAACCCTGCTTTATATTTAATACATTAAATTCAGTCTTTAAATCTGAATTACATGCAATTCCTGCAGGCTTTTACTTACTTTTCTTTTCTTCTTTTTTAAATTTTAGGTGTAAAGCTTTATTATCTGTTTATTTAATATTTTGTTTTATGTTTATTAATTTATCAATATATTGGCCAGTTGGAACTATTTCCATCATGAAGAACTTTGTTTTAAATCAAATCCTAAGTTAATACTTAGTTACTACTAAGTTAATACTAACAACTTTCTTTTAAATCAAATCCTAAGTTAATAATGTTATTACATGGTAGAAGCACATATGATTGTATTCCTATGTAAGAAAGGTGATTAAAATTTGGTGGCTCACAAGTGAAGATGCTGTTGATAAAAGAAGAAAGACAATCTGACTCTTATGATTCATAATCAGAGGTTTTCTTGATCAGAACTGCGAAGCTGCTGCACAAATTATGTCACAATCTTATCACTGTGAGCAAGATCTGCATCCAGTAATGGATAGATTAAAATAAACATATTTTTCTGAAGATAATTTCAATTCATTTTATTTGAAACACTTGTTTTTTAATTTAATTTTGTTATTTCAACAATTAATATTCTTATTTTTCCATCCCCCAATTGCTTACATTTTACAGTGATATCACTCAGACTCAATGGTTCTAATCAATTTTTCTGTTCAATGAAGCTGGTCAACATAGATAATATGATTATCACTGCTATTTTGCACAATATTTATAGAATTAAAAATAAAGTAAAATGTTTTAGGATGAAACATTAAAATCATGTTTACACATAAGCAAAATGAACTGTCACAGATGACCAGTCTGCTTCATCAGCTGGAGTTGGAATGAATGCCTGGAACTAAAACTTGATTAACTCTGACAAAACAGACTGGTCATCTGAAAAAGCACTTATTTTGCTTATGTTTAAACGTGGTTTTAGTGTCTCAACCTAGAATATTTTACTTCCTTTTTAACTTCATTCTAACTGTGTGTGCCTTTTAATTCTTCAGCTGTTTAATGCTGAAGCAATATTTATACTCTTAGAAATACCATCTGCTTTTAGAGGTGATTGCCATGAGAAGTTTTACTTTTGTTTATTATTGAAATATATGCTGCTTTGCTGCAACTGTTCTCAGTAAGCAGGCTGGATGCCATATGAGGTTTTACTGTATTTAATATCAAAATATATGCTTGTTGATATAGCTGCTGTTAGTCAGCAAAATTCATTTATTAATATTATGATGGTTATATTCTGAATATGAAACGAAAAATCTCACATTCTAAATTGTGACATACATTATTCAAACTTTTCAATATTAGTAGATTCAATCAGAAACTAATCAGAATTTTTTTAGAAGTTCTGGGAAATTTCTATCTGCTATAAGCAAGTCTAATGAATGGCATTGGCCTTCGTTTAGCATCATCTTCATTCCACCTTATAATTAATCTTGTTCTGTCTTGTTTCTGATGTAATTTTTTTAATGATCAGGTAATTGTTTCTAGCCTGCTTTTTAAACATGCTCATTTGAAGCTCATCTGATAGACCCCCGATAAGTTAAATCACCTTTTATTCAAACTTTTAACAATAAATATCTATATTTAAAGGGAAGATTTAAATTCTGCATATACATAAAGTTTCAATTTTGGTTTAATTTTTGCAGCAAAATCTGAACTTTTAATTCATCTTGTGATCAGTCTATAGTTAGTAATGTACAGTATTTGATTATTGAATTAACTAATGATTCCACAAAAGTACATTTGTGTTGATGTTGATTTGTCTGGTTCATGCTAGGGCTATTTGCTTAATGGAAATTTTCTTTGTAGAGGACTTTTTGAGGACTTTTGTCCACATTTACATGGCTTTTATCCACATTACACATGTCAAAAAACATGAAAACACCCATACAGCCAGGATGTTTGCCTGGAATCGAACACAGGTCTAATTAAAAATTTTCTGGGGTTTCTCCATCTGCCTGCTAATCAAAAGTTATTAACAAGCTCATTCTATTGCATGCTTGTCAGCATTTCAGAATTTTTTTAATTGTTTATTCTTTTTCAGATTTGGAAGATTGGCTGTCTGTAGTTGGATTTGATACAAATAGCATATTGTCATCTCTATGCCCTTTGGAAAGATGCAGCAAGTTCTCCTATCTGTATGAGAGCCCGCCGGCAATATCTGGTATTGCCTGTGCTGTGAATGCCCTGTCAACCGAATTTCACAGATTCTCCACTGTTCCTAAAACAGAAGTTAAAATTAGTAACAATTTCCCTCGCACTATTAGCCCTCGACTTACCACTATACAATCTGTTCTTGGAGATGGTATACTGTTGTCAAATCATCATGGTAAAGCATTTGTAAATACAGTTTCTGATGGGCCTACAATACTGAGAGATGTTGTTGTCACTGTTTTTAATGAAACAAATATGCTTAACTTATGCTTTTCAAGAAATGGGCAAGATGCATTTTATTTTGTGCAAGAGGATGCAAGCAGAGCTCAACGAAATTGGGATCAGTTGCAAAGATTGGGTACAATGTTTAATGTGACAATGCATAATGTAGATCCCAGTGAGGGAAGCAGTGGTCAAGTAGATATTAAACTGCAGAGCCCAAGCATGATTTTAAATATAAGGTATGGGTCAACAGTGGATGATGAATACAAGCGGTTGGTTCGTCTTGGGAAACGGCGTGCAATTGAGGAAGCATGGCAGCTTGAAAAACAGTTGGCTGTCAGTGGACATAAAGGAATGTATGACTGGTCTAAGATAGAAAAAGATGAGCTTATATCAAGTGGTAGCGTTGCTAAATATCATGGTGCTTACATACATGATGTTAGTCAATTTCCAGAACTGATAGATGATCCCACCAATATTATCTTCAAGAAAGAAAGCTCAAGAAAACGGCGTAACAGACCACGAAAACCAAAATAGAGATCACTTACGTAAAGTTTTATTCATCTTTCTTATTTTTAAACTGCAGTTGCTGATGGGTTAACTTTTCTGTTCTTCTGGTTTAAGCCATCATTTAGCAACTTCATTTGGTCACATTCACTCATTTGACTGAATGTCCCCTGTGATTCTGACCCATGTTGGGTTATTGACATTTCAAAATATCCATTGTACTAAGGTACAATTTGAGAAGCTTTATGATATCCTGTCCGAATTTTGCACATCGACTTCCAAAACACACTTTTATGAGCTACATTCAGAGGTGAGAGTAATCGAATGCACTTTTGACTGTATAAAAAAATTTCACTTATATGATGTACTGATATATTATGTAAAATACTGTGATTATAGATGACTAATTTATCATTTCTGATGATATCGTATATAGCAGCAGACTTGTGCTGAAATGTCAGGGTCCATGATGATTTAATGTAAATGCAGTACACATGAATATATATATGCATATTTGTTTATAATTTACTTAACATAGAGCATGGCATGATAATTTAAGATTGTTTTCCTTATCTCTTAAGGTCATACCATTGAATGTAATTAATATAGTGTTCTGCTAAAGCCAAAAATTGAGTAGACACAAAATTTAAATACTAATGGCTGTCAAACAGGGACTGAAACGAATGGTCTAGTGATGACTTATAGTTATTGTGCCATGTTTTTTGTCTAGAAATTTATAGTTGTCTTACTTTTAAGATCATCTTCTTTCACTGCAAAATACTTAAATATTGTGCTGTATAATTTTTCTTCATCACGTTGTCTGCATAGTAATTTAAAATACTTCTTTAATTAGAAGCCACAAATCAAAATTAGTGGTTTCTTAGACTAACAAATCTAGGTTTTGTGAAAATATAATTCAGAAAACTGATAAGAGTTTACTAGCTGATATTTTATGAAGTCATCATGTCAGCAATGGCTATAGTACACTTCTTTTAAAGGACTTTATGCATGCCTAGAGCATTTTAGTTTTTCCTGCAAAATTTTCTATTCTACATGAATTTGCTTTCTGTCATGCTAGAGTTGTAGGGAATGGTCATGTATGCATTTTTTGAATTTTTTTTTTCACTTCTTACATTCACGGAAATCAAATAAGAAATAAAGTTTACCTATCCATCAATTTACAACATTTACGATTTCACTCATTGATTCTGCACATCTGATGACAATTGCATACTTTACAGTTGTAAATACTTCAAAAATTTAATGACTGAATTAAATAAGAGTGATTAATGAATGGCAAATTAAATTAAATAAGAATTGTAACTGCTGCCAAGGGACTGTGAGAAACTTCTGGATGGTTGTTGTTGCATTTTATTTGATCGAATTTACAACTTGAGTTAATCTTTATTTTAAATTCTTCCATTATGAGTAGTAGTAAATCAAGTCTCTTTTAAATAGTTGATGCACTCTAATTAACATTTTTAAGTATCCAGTATGTCTTTAACAGTATTTTATTATCCTGCTCCATTATATTTGTTCCCATAAGTATTCCTGTTTTTCCAATAAATATTGTTATATTTTTATATTAAATATTTAGCTTTTTTGTAGTACAATTAAAAGCAAAATACTGTGCAATGCCATTCTTTTAATTTGCACTTTTTTATTTAAAAAAATAATTTGTTACTTATTACTCCTTCACTGTGGCCTTTGATTTTTATTTTACCTGCTTCAAGAAATATATAACTTTAAATATAAATTATTGTTATAAGCAAAATATAAATTATTGTTATAAGTAAGCATTTTGTATAATATCTTTTTAAGGGGAAAAAATTGCTACCTTATAAGTGTTTAATTGTGTACTTTTATTCAAAGAATGAAAGGAATCTGAATGAGTACTTTTACTCCCACCTCTGGCTACACACTAATGCTTTATAAATCAGTGACTAGTTATCTTATATGTGTGTGTATGTGTGTGTGTGGTTCTACAAAGACGCTGGTGCTGTTGCACAACCCACAGGGTAATGAAAAGATTATTCTTTTTATGCTATGATTATTGGAAATGAAGCCATGAACTTTTCCATAAATCATTTTTGAATTTGTAAAAAGAATAGTGCACAATCAGGTCTGCAAATTTATATTTGATTGATGAGAGCCATGTATGTTAATAAACTGTATATTAAATTTTTAATATGTCTTAGTCTTTCATTTATTATTTATATCTTTTCAATGATGGCACTATATAGGTGTGATTATAAAGAAGTCACATTCTGAGGTGTTAATTGTCATTCATTTAAAGAGAAGCTCTTTTCAGCTTCGGAATGACAAATAGAAGTATTAATTAAATTTTTTATCTTAATTGAAGTCAAATAGGCAATCCTATTGGTGATTGATGTTCCGAATTCCACAAAGCACACAAACCCAAAAATGAAATTGGAAAATTACAATATTTAAACCCTGTAGAGTCATTAGTGTTTTTTTTTTTTTTTTTTTTTTTTAAGCAGAAGAGGTGAAAAATGTGCAGTGCCCTCACTGGGACTCGAACCGTTTATCTCTCGAATACGCACCGATGCTTCCAATTATATCATGAAGTCATGTGCAGAGGAGGGAGAAAATACCTTATATACTCCCCCTTTTAAAGACCGACTGAGAATAAGGAGACCCAATCGCCAAATCCTTGTGGTGACTATTTACCGTCCATCACCTTTAAGTTCGGGTGCCATTTGTAGAGTCATTAGCTTGTTTTGAAACAGGAAATGTGAAAAATGTGCAATGTCCACGGGGTGGGGGGGACTCGCACTTGGACCTCTCGAATATGTGCAGAGTGTGCTTTGTGTGACAGTTTTCGTTTCATTATTTGACGATATAGATTCCCTGCATACATGTCTTCTGAGAAAAACACTTCTTATTTAAATAATACAGATATGAATATATAATAAAAATAGAAAGATCTCTGCTTTGCTTTATGCGTAGATCAACAATGATTTAAAAACGAAATTCGCACAATTTCTTTGAAGATTGGCTGCCTGTATATCAAGATGGAGCTGCTTAGTTACTATGATCAAACATTAAATTACAATTACAGACGCTCTCTCACCTGATGAACGAGTTACATTCTAAACATATTCGTATGTGGAATTTGTTTGTAAACGTGTTACTAGGTTGGCTACGCACATCTGTTAACGATGTTCTTTAGACAAGAGCTAAAAATACTATGATGAAAAAAGTTGAAAATACTGAAACACAAATAATACATTTTAAATACAGTATATTACAATGATGATATATGAATTATAAATGGTTAAAGAATTACTATACAGTACGTTTGTGTTGGATTGTCATCTTGGAGCATGTGTGGATGCATGTGTAGATCTTTATATGGGTGAGCGTAAGTTGCCGTCATACTCGCCCTCTGAAAACTCATTCACAAGTAAAAGGGATATTTCTGGCTGTAATGAGACATGGAAGAAGTTAGCATGTTAGATGGACCAGCAACACCGATTTCTCAAGAAAATAAGTGCCTAAACTTATCTGGATCGGTTTTTCCTTTCTTTCATCGTAAATAAGGCGATAAAACTGTATGGCATCGTGCATGGCAGAATTTAACAAAACCTTTCAGAATTTGGGTTTGGTTTTTCCAGAAAAAGTGAAGTTCCGAATTCTTTTCGACTCTAAATTTCACCTTTGAGAACAGATTTGTTTGTAAAATGGTCAACGTCTGTTGAAAGACCTAAATCCATCGTCCATGATGTTAATTGGTATTTTTTTTTTTAAGACTTCCGGCGAATATTGTCTTAGGCCAACAGGTATTGACAGATACTGAACTGTCAATGGCTCATTACACATAGCTCGATTCTCGGTCAGTGGGTAATAGTGTTGAACTGTTAATCTCTCATTCCACAAGAATCTTGATTCTTGCTTTTACCAACCAACCGCCAACCGAACTCTAAGTTAAAGAGTTCAGTTGGTAGACAGAAGGAATGTGTGCTCGACGAAGCGTTTATATATCCCGACATGAATCACTAAGCTTATTAGAAACAGGTTATGTATGTCCAGAATTATCATAACGATTCAAAAGGTGGTTTCGAGAATTTTCAATCATGCACATGAGTTTCGTTATCTATGTCCAAAATTATCAGGAGAATTCGAGAGATTTGTTTCAAGAATTTTCAATGATGCGCATAACCTTCACTATCTCCAAAATTATCGAGACCATTCCAGAGATAATTGCGAGAATTTTCAATGATGCGTAGCGTACTTATTACTAAAAAATCTGATGTGTACACCACATGACTTCCTTGTACAGAATATTAAATTATACGCATTTTTTCTTGCATTTTATTTAAACTTATTAGATTGAATTAAACCTACTTCGCCGACAGTGCATAAACCACAATAGAATAAATGCATTCTTTAAAATTCACTTTGTTTACCATAGCGACACTCTGGCGCTAGGTTTACTGAGCAGTATTATATTTCGTTCATATTATAACTCAGAATGCACAAAATTTATATCATTTAAAGAATAGAATTATCTAATCGTTGCCACATGTTCTATTCAAATACTATAATAAAGCTAGAACTATTTATAAAAGATATTAAGAAAACAAAACAAAAAAGAAACAGTTTTTCATAGACGATTGAGTATTTCTCATTTAATTAATTCAGTTCTCACTTCGCAAGAAGGCAAAAATACATAAAAACTCAAAATATCTATGTTAAAAATTACGAAGTAAATTTCAAACGCTTATTTCCTCGAAAAAATTCCAGAAAGAATTAAGCATGATTTAATTGGCAATAATAAATGAATGCGTTATCTTTGTTGTTGCGAAGCTAAGTTTCTCTAGATTGGCAACAAATCCACTAGTCTCCTGTTTCAAATGTAAACATCAATGGCCGCCATTAAAAACAGGCTTAGCGGCAATTAAACAACTTTAAAATTGCTGTAATTTTAAAAATATTGCACACAGATTTACTAAAGGCATAAAATCCTTAACCGGAAGATAAAAACAACATAATTCAATCGTTTTTAAAGCAAAAAATAGCCGGGAAATAGAGTGGATATATATATAAATATATTTATATACGTTTGGTGCGGCCGATTGCAACCAAAATACGAGGTGCACATCTACATGTTATAGCAGTCCTATATACAAAATTTCAATGTTCTGAGGCTACTCGTTTTTGAGTTATGCGAGATACGTACGTTCGTACAGACGCCACGAAAAATTCTCTTCAGAATTAATTTTAAAGCAGTTTTATAATTTTTTTGAAGGAAAAGAGTATTTTATTCTTTCCTTATGTACAGATATCACGAAAAAACATCGTTGAATTGCATTCGATAGCGGTCAAAATGGATATTTTCGTTGAAATATGCTGCCTGAAACTTTTCGCGATTACAATACTTCCTTTTTACTTCGTACAAGGAAGTAAAAATTCTGGCAGATTCCGTTAGATGACTCACTGAAATACCATATCAGTCAGGGCTCATGAGAGTTACTGATTATTCAAATATCACTGAAATTGCAATCATATTCTGTTTGTGTGTACGTGTGTGAATTCTTCTACTTTGGGTATCAGTCAAAATAGTTACTTCAAAGTTTTGGGGAGAAATGTTTAATGATTTCTTAGGTTAGGATCCAAAGATTTGAATGATCTCAGTATGTTGGTTCTTATGTTAATTGTGTGGAGAAACAAATTTACGTTTTAAGAAAAAGCCTAAACAAATTATTAGCTTTTTTTTTTAAATAAATGTTCGGTTAGAGTAGATTTACGGGTGCCCCCTTGGATTATCGCTAAGTTGTTGTTTTATTTATCGCCAAGATGCTGTTTCATTTATCGCCAAGTTGTTGTTTCATTTATGGTAACCTGAGTAGTTGTGTGTGTGTGTGTGTGTGTGTGTTTAATTACGGCAAAGCACACGAGGGCTATCTGCCTGAGGGATGCCTTCGTGGAGGACTTTCTAAGGGAAACTGGCTCGTATACACGTTACACATGGGGAAAACCCATGCAGCCAGCCCGTTCGCGGGATTCGAACCTCGGACCGAACTACAAGTGTGCAGCGACTTTACCGCTCGGCCGCTGGTGGGCCCCTGAGTAGTTGAATGTTATGGAAACTACGTAGCGTATTCGGAAACTAAGTACTGTTTCATTCTAGCGCCGTCGCAGCGCTGTGGTAGGCTTCCCGCACATGCGCACTAGTCTTTCTTGTTCACTGACTTTCAATTGTCGCCATTTTGGTTGCTCTATGTTGTGTTTTCAGTTTGCTGTGCACATTCAAAATGTTTAAGACAATTAGTTCTCCCGCTGACTGTGAGATTCTTGCCGTGATTAAATTTTTGAACGCGAGGAATGTTAAACCTGCCGAAATTTATCGTCAAGTGACAGAAGTTTACGGTGAATACACTCATTCTCCGAAAAAACAAAAGTTCAAAGTGACAATGTCATCACAAAAATTCATGTGCACTGTCTTCTGGGATAGGAAAGGCGTTTTGCTTACTGAATTTCTTCCCAGAGGTGAAACCATTAATGCGGCACGATATTGTGAGACTTTAACAAAACTAAGGCGTGCCATTCAAAGCAAACGAAGAGGAATGCTCAGTAAAGGAACTGTGTTGCTCCATGACAATGCTCGGCCCCATACTGTTGGTGTCACTCAATCGTTAATTCGACAGTTTCATTGGGAGCAGTTCGATCACCCGCCGTACAGCCCGGACTTGGCGCCGTTCGACTATCACTTGTTCCTGCACATGAAGCACAAGCGCGAGCTTGGTGGCAAGCGCTTTGGATCTGACGATGACACGAAAAATGCTGTGGAGTCGTGGTTATCGAAACTGGCGGGAAGTTTCTTTGACGATGGTATACAAAAACTGGTCACCCGCTATGACAAGTGTTTGATCATTGGCGGAAACTATGTTGAAAAATAGTTTAAGACATGTATTTTCATGTAAAAATAAAATTGGATTCGAAAAAATTGTTTTACTATTTTTTTTTTCAAAACTGTACTTAGTTTCCGAATACGCCTCGTATTATGACGTAATTGGTTGCATTATTGCGGTCAATTTGAAACATTCGAAAAGATATGGAAAGTCTCCGTCGGATTTTCGATAAGTACGTAATTATTTTGTGGTGTACACGGTAAAATGGCTGAATGTGGTAAGATTAATTTGAAGCTCTGTACGATTTAGAACGAAAGG